CCCCCCCCCGTGAAATGCCATACTGATTTCATCACAACACACCAAGTCCTTGCGTGTCCTCTTTGTATGCAGCTTCTTTGCTACTTCAGCAACAAAAACTGTGCAGTGCAAAACAATACACACTGATGTTATCCTCTTCTTCTCATAGTCCAAAGATTCTTTAGACATTTTAGAAATGACTCAACTGATGTAGTTGAACCATTTTTTTAATGTGTCGTACAACTTTGGAGTCTTGTTGTTAATCTCAAAATCTGTCACTCTTTTTTGATTAGTCACCATAGCAACTTGACCTGGACCATCTTAAAAGTCCTACAGATGAGATGTATAAAATATATGAGAAAGCAAACAAATCAATATTTAGTCATTTGTGTTTATTTAAAAGAAGAAGAAGAAGAACTCTAGACTCTGTTAGGCCACAGTACTGATATATATGCATCTATGATATATGAAGATAGAGCTTCTAACTGGCATAGCTGATATTTGATAACTGGTAAATGAAATCATTGACCATCTTCCAGTTTTTATAGTTTATGATAAGAACTGTACAATTAATAAACTGAACAGAAAAAATAACAATGCAGGTGTGTAAGAGATAAATGTCTAAATGCTTTTAAAACAATGGAATGACAGAGCTGGGTGGAAATAAGATGAGAATAGAAAAAAAATGACATGTGATGTCAGTGGTGCATATAAATGTAATGTCCATGGATAACAAAGGGTCTACAAAATACATCTTAAAAGCATCATGCAATTTGAATAAAACTAAAATAATGTTATTATGATTATGAAAGCAGAAATATGCATGTGCAGATTTAAATCAATGGAGTTGATATTGAAAGAGTAAATTAAAAACAGACTTCTTGGGATAATAAAAGTTACAAGATTTCGTTTTCCAGGTTTATTCAGATTTTGCAATCAGCATTGATGTGTGGCTGTAAAGTCATAAAGTTGCCAAAACTATATGTGATTATATTTTTTATTTTACATGGTGTATAAATTCTGTGTAATCAGAAATATATTTTGTGTTGTTATTGAGGTTTCATTAAGGAAACTGGATAAAAAGTAATGCATATTTTATTGAGAATGCTTAGGATTAAACAAGAGTACATGTCTTCCACTGCTTTTAAGATATGTACAGTTAATCAGCAAATGTTAATGTGATATTTTGCTTGATTTTGTTTCATGCAGCTTTCGGTATACTGTTTACATGTTTTTAAAAAATCACCAAACAAAAAACAAGATGTTACTCTGTTAAGCATCTATTGCAGCACAAAATGCGCCATATGTATGCAGCTGCTAACATATTGCACCTGCACATGCACTGATTCATCTCTGCTAATGCATAAAGAAAATCCTCATTTGGCACACACTCTGAGGAGTGTTCCTGTCATGTACTCATAATATCCCTGGGGAGTAAAGAGACTACAGCATCACCTGACCTGTTCACACCTTTGCATCATAATCAGCCCAGGAACAAACGATGCAAAAGAGAGTATTCCCCCTCTTCTGCAGCAAAACGTGAGTCACTTTTAATTGATTAGAAACTAAAAAAGAAAACAGAAAAAACAGATATTGGAGATGAGATATGGGGCTTAACATGAAGAATGTGCCTCCCAACTCAGTATCCATCAGAGGCTGTAATGCAGAGAGCTTTACCTTCAATCACCTTCAGCCAAGCAAATCTAATCTTTTTTAAAGAAAAGGCTGCAATGGAGTACTTAAATTCACCAATCTAAGTACTAATAAGATGACTCAGATTCATTTGAAACACTGAGCTCTGCAGACTCTATGTGGGCCCTTCACTCTTGCTGGCTCAGCAAATTTGACTTTGCACACACTCCCAGTGTATCTTTACTGTATAACATTAAACTGAGTACCATCATCCCTATAGAGCATTCGCACACTAAAACAAACCAATAAAATAACAGAAACAAAAACAAAACAGTGAGAAAATGAAAAAAATGAAACAAATGAAAATCTGTTACACATAACAATTTAATGTTTGCGCACTAAAAATCAATCATCGCTCACTGTTAATCAGTTTATAATCATCTTTGTCATAATCAGCCAATGAAAGTCAATTAATATTTGTTTAACAGTGAAATAAAATTCAGTTCTCAAGTTCTATCTCACTCATACGTGCTTTGTTTATTATGTAACATTATACTGCAGCGCTACATGATGCTACGCACCAGTCATTAAGGGACTTACTGGCATGCTTTAAAAGTTCCACTATAGCAGATTCTCTAATACATTAAAAGGAGAAGTGCTAAGACTGTCTGCTCTAATTACCCCTGAGCCATTTATTCTCTCTTTTTCTCTGTGCAGGGCTTTTTTTTTTCTACATTCATCCAGGATGTGTGTAATGAGGCTAGGTGCCTCTGTGACAACTTGCCACACAGCAAAAGAACCAGTAACAGAATGCTTGGACATAGAGGGAAAATGCAGCTTACCTTGCAGAGAGATGTGCTTCCTCCTAACCAAGGAGAGCGGAAAACAGGGTCAGATATGTTCTTAAAGAGATGAGAGAAGTCTTAATAGTCTGCCCTTTGACTCATCCCACCCTTGAAATACATTGCAAAAAAAGAAAAAAAAGTAGTAGCAGGTCCCAGTGTCACCTGGGGGAGGTTTCTGTCCTAGAAGTCACACATAAACGAGACTCAGTTTGTTGCTAATGCGTGCTCAGATCGGGCAGGGAGGAGAGGATACACTCATTAACATTGTTCTAACACAGTGAAATAAGCACAAGCATCAGAGCCGGTGCAGGTCCACTGCTGTATTTCCCGGCACTGCATGCTCATTGGCTAAGGAGCAACTCAATAAAACCTCTCCTTGTCATCAGTTGGATAGGGAGGGGTCTAGATTTTCTTTGGCACACTAATAGCTGTGCTCCTCCTCTTTTCTTCCTCACTCTATCACTTTTTCCCTCAGTACAAGCAGACAGGGACTGCTGAGCTTTGAGAATTAGACGCAGGAGGAAAACCAGAAAGGGGGGGACAAAGAGAGGAGCAGGAGGGAGTATAAAAACAGGGGGATCGATGAGTGATGAAAAGAAGGGTGAACGTGGAAACCAGCAGTCTGCAGTGCCTCTCAAAACAGAGCTCGATTTAAGGTGCTGTACCTCCCTGCTGCAGGAACTGTATGGGGACCTGAGTGCAGTGAGGTGTGAGCGGAGAGGATAGAGGAAAAGGGGGAGGAGGTGAAAGGGAGAGAGAGGATGGGAGAGGGGGAGTGACTTGGGCTGTTTTTGCTGCAGTATAGAGGCAAGCAGAACACAGATGGGAAGTTTGTTGTTTTTTTTCTGAAGCAGTTAATGTGAAGCAGAAATGGCAAAGTAGTTCATCCACTCTACAGAAGCACCCAACATGTAACTGGTAAATAATTTAGAAAGTAGGATGAGACACATAACTGTGTCATTCACATGGGAGATAGTATTCAACAACAAAAAGTGCAAAGGTCAGTGAGTCAAGGTGATATATGTAGAGCTTTAATGCAGCAGGATGCCAGCAGAGAAATGTCTAGTTTGGTTTGACAGCATATTACTGTATACTTGTCTACTGGCCATCTCTTTAAGGTTTTGTGATATACCATAAGCTTTAAGACGGCTGTTTTTTTGTTTTTGTTTTCTTTTTTTTACTTTTCACATATCTATTTAGTATCTTGGTTTTAAAATAATGAAACTGACTAAATGAAATCTCATTCTGCCATCTTAATTTGAAATATGGTAGCTGGACAGCCTTCCTCTGCAGTTTCCTCCAGAAAAATCCACGTACTGTGTGGTCGGGGAGAAGCATAAAAATACACAATTTCCAGAGGCACCAATTTCCCCAAACAGTACCTGTAAATGTTTAAAAGAAATGAGGAGGAATGTGTTTGTTTGCGCATAACAGTATCCACTTCCTCCTTAACAGCCTAAATCTTTGGCAAATGAAAAGTGTGCTCAGACAGTCTATCCAGCTGATTTACTGGTGCAACATTTGTTAATGAAAAACAACGACAGGACACTGTTGTGACGGCCAGTTTCACCATTACGCTTATTAAACCTTCTGGGACCATAGCCAAAACTCTGCAGCAAATGGCAGTCAGGCTACCCTTCAAGAGCGACGCACCATTTCATTGCCTTTGGCGTTACCCTTGACATCCTGTAGCAGTGACCGGGCAGTGCTCGGCGCATTACCCACAATTAGAGCAACACCGCAAGATGTGTCACAGATGCTGCATCACTGAAGCATCCAGGTTTTTTTATGAACTTTACATTCTGCTGTGCTGATTTGCTCCTATTCTTGATCAGAGGGGAGGATGATGGAGAAAAAAAAGTTTTGATAGAATCCAATTATTCAGCCAGAAGATATTTGGTGATTGCCTCCTGCTGAACGTTATAGCAATAAATTGGAATAGATGAAAGGGAGGCACAGTGGTAATTCAACATGGAGATTAGAGGCAGAATATGTGCCTGAAGCAGCTGTGAAGGTCTGGTTTCATAAAGGTGAAGCAGGGAGTCTAATGAGGCTCACATATAAAATGAAGATGTAATAGTGAAACGAGACAAAGAATACAATGATGTTAGCTGCACTATGAGGATGAACAGCTGTGCTTTAAACCAAACGTCTCCCTGCTACCTTTCTACAGGTATCTTTGTAACCACACATTTTTGGTCTGCAGTTGCTGGCCTCACCAACATATCCAGTGCTTTTCCTTGTGGTTTCCCTCAATGCTCCCTCCACTCACTCAGAGTAACTGTTTGAGACAGATGGCTGCCGTCCACGGACCTCTTTCTAGGGAGTTCTTTCTGCTATTTGGAATATATCCAAAAACTGCATTAACAATTTTTTAACAGAATTTCTGGATATCTGCAGTATATATTTTTTGCCTTACAGCAATGTTTTGATCTCAAAGTAGAAGAAAAACCCGTAATCCTCACTCTACTATTAATATATTTTTTGGTGGATATAATATATTATTTAATGCATGTTTTTACACAGTCCATCTGTGATATAATGACGCCTTTCATTGGGAGCTGGAAACCTTTTCAGTTCAGGATCTAAATTAGACAGGAAGTCTCTTGCTCCATGACCCTATTGCGGCATGTCAGCATCCAGGGAACAGCTAGAAGTAGGCTTGAGACCCATTATGGCTCATAGCCCACAGGTTAAAGCTGCACTATGCAAATTAAGCAAGTACCTTAAAATGTCAGGAAACAATGGAGCCTATCTATTTAAAGACATATAAATTACACTTGACTGTGTTGATCTTTGTTGACCTCTAAAAGTCATGTTTGCGGGTTTTATTGTGACTTATGAATATAGTTTTCATTTGACAGTCTATCCTTTTATTTCTAGTTCCTCTAGATGTCATTACTTAATTGAAACACTAGAGGGCGCCACACTCAAATAATCTGAATAAAGCTGCCTTTTCTTTTTTAGCTGGGTCACTCATTATGATGTAGGCTTTGAACACTTTTCCCTTTTTTATTACTTTGCCACCAGAATAATTTTATTTATCCATTCCTTTTTAAAAATTTTCTATCAGTTGGCTACTGTGACTTAAAAGCACATTTTGCCAGCTGAGCTACTGATCCCTAAAATAACCCATGGGAGATGGAGCACTAGGGCTAATTTTGTCAGCCTGTGTGTGAACCCATGCGTCTCTGTAACCTGGATATCTCTGGCATCCTGCCTGGTACTGTATCACTATGCCAATAACTTCAAGACCAAATAGTTACAAGTTCAGTATTATACACTGGTATTATTATTATGGACGTTCTGGCATACTGTAGTACTTTTGGGTCTGTAAGAGTCACATGAACAACACTGCTGTCTCCAGTTTCTTACTGGACTTCATCCAGAAGCCTCATATACTCAGTAGCAGTATTGGCATTGAAAGGGAAAGGTATTAGATAAATGTGTGGATATAGAAAAAAATTATAAAGAAAATATGAATTTCAAAACTGAGTTTAAACCTGTATTTATCTTTCAGGTAGTATTGAATTTTAAAAACAGCATTTTTAAATGTGTTTGGCTTACCTAACCTGCTCAAAGACTTTGTGTACAATTACATGGAATCCATTATTTGTATTTGGAGCAACTGAATTCTTTATTTTTGCTCAAATTAGTAGCACACTTAATTAGTAAATAAAGTAAATCAGTACCAACAGGCCTAAAAAATGAAGTGTAACTATATTCTAAAACCCTCAGCAAGCATAGCTTGTTTTATCAACGTAAACAATTGCAATCTATATAAATATATAACACCATAAGTGTACTCCATGTATGATCCCTGCTTTATTTTTCCCCTCCATAGAGCTTTTACAGATTATCATAGCACAATATTAAGTTTTTATTTAAACTGCTGTACACAATAGAAGCCATTACATGGCAGTGGTTACAATTTACAGAAAACAATGTATTGAAAAAATAAAACCAGAAATTAAATAGTTTATTGGTATAAACTCATTGATGTTACATGTAGTTCTCCTACGAGGAACAGAAGATCCATCCTGCAAAATTCTTGGTGTTAGATGATAAAATAGGAAAGAACAGTGTCTGACAAATTCATAATTTAGTTACAATAGACTTTGTTGTTGGGGAAAAAGCTGATTGTGGGCAAGGATATGGACTTAAAAATGCAGTTGTAGCGATACTGATGATATTTAATATTTAATTGTAATTATTTTTCATCATAATTCAATGTTCTTCATAATATTTGTTAGCGCTTGGCGATAGATCAGTCTACATCCATTAGGCAGTGTGGTCACCAGCCATATATACATGTTCTTCCAGGAATCCAGCACCTTCCTGCAGGGAAACAAAGACATTATTTAAACTACAAAAGTTTTTTTTTTTATCAGTGTGGATGACCATTTTAGAAACACTGTCAGGCACCTGAGACTGCAAAGGCCCCTTTCCTTCTGAGTCTAATTTGGGATTGGATCAGTTGAACAAATAGCAAAAACATATGCTAAGAAATAAATTAAGCTGCAAAAACAGCAGTGATTTGAAACAAAGCACACATAAATAATTTTCTTGTATTTTTTTAATGTGTTGTACTGTTTAAGTGTTAAGAAGTGACCTACAAATAAAATGCTCCTGAAGGAAGCTACTGCAGCTACTTCTGCTGAGTTGATGAAATGTGATTAAGTCTCCAAACTGAGTGCATGGGGAGTCATTACAGTTTTAATTTATGGGTGCTACTGATTGGAGCATTTCAGTGGCAGTGGCCATGTTTTCCAAGTTTAGTTCTCTCCAAGTATGGACACCAAGTCATTTAGGCAGCTGGTGAAGACACACATAGATCAACCTATCCAATGGATCTTATTTAATTGTTTTGACACAAATGTCCAGCTACAACAGCACTACAATCAAAGCTAACCCCGAAATATTACCGTTCTGTTAAAAGTGTTGTGACAAAGTTGTATACTTGGTGTACTGATATTCTGAGAGCAAATAAAGTGTCAAAGTATAAAAAAATAAATAAATCAGATTTCTCACCTGTGAGCGTCATGATGCCAGCTTATTTCTTGTCGGCATCTGCAATCACTGGCTCTGTATAACAAAGACACGTGATATTCAGGATACTGGGTACTGGCAAAGCAAGTCCTACAGCTGAAATAGAGTTTTTACACATATCCAAAAGACCTCGGATTTTAGTACAGCTTTAAGATCCTGACTTACGTTTGACCTCCAGCTTGCAGCTGACAGTTGCCTCTCCGTGATCATTCTTGGCTCTGCAGGAGTACACACCTCCGTCAAAGTTGCCAGGCTTTCGGATCTCCAGGGAGCAGATACCCTGGACACAGATCTGCCTGAACTTGGGGTCATCTCCAATAACCATCTGGTTTTTCATCCACTCAATCTTGGGCTGTAGAAAAACCGATTCATACAGTATAACTGGATGTAAAGAGCAAAACACCTTGCAAAGACTATGAACAGAAGTATTGTTGACATATTTGTGGCTTTGGGACTGAAGCAGAAACAACGTACACACACAGCTTGGGAGTTTAGTGGCATTAAAAGATAATAAATATCTGGTGACCTCTTTGCATCGTATTGTGCTTAGTACCATTTATCCTACATCCTGTTGGTGACCTAGTGGATTGCAGACATGAAAGAAGAGGTAAGGGACTGAGACAGTGAGCTAATGAGCTAATGGGTGCAGCTTTCGTATGTTTAAGGAAGAAGGTGCCTATGGAACAGTCTAGCTAGTTTGCACCTCTGGTAAAATCGAATCTGCATGCACATTTAGACTTTAATATTTTAAAGACCAGAACTGTGTCGGAGGTTCTACATATGTAGCGATTATCTAAGCAAAGCAAACATTCTTCAACTTCTGTATTTTGTTAATAACAGGTAGTAGTAACAGGGACCTAATAATACATGTGAATTACAGTGCTGAAGTATGATGAACCCGGGTGGACATTTGGGGTGTGGTTTTACATGAGATCAGCACTTCGAAGATTCTTACCTAGTTATTATCCTTTTAGCATTACTTGCGATTATTGTGATGTTTCTTTCTTTCTGTAAGAGTCTGTATGAAGAATTTAATAGAAGGGTACGTCCCCACACTTTTATATGGCGATAATTTGCAAACAAAACTGCAACCAGAAAGTAGCCAATAAAATAGCTTTCACACCTGTCTGTAGTAGATATTTGGATTGAGGTGTTGACATAGAGCATTTTTATTTCGCTTATCCTTTTAAAATGTGATATTTAGTGGGAGAAGAAAAACGTATTAAAAAGTATTTAAGCAAGCAGAGGAGACTGATCACTGATGTTCACTCTCCACCTCACAGTATAAAGCACCTTAAGACAGCGGTTCATATATTATGAATATATGAACTGAATTAGAGAATTACAAAAATGTAAATACAATTCACGTGGATTCATCAAGCAAGTTTTATTAAAAAAAGCTTCAATTGATCTCTGTGATCTATCTTACAAGCAGTAACTTGGTCCATCAAGTTAATGACTGTAGACTGAACTGAAATTAAAAAGCACACTACTGTTGTCTTGAGACCAACAAGAGCTTACAATTGGTGCTGTTGAAGTGCTAATAGAGTGCAAATAGAGAGAGATGTTACTATACTTTTGGGGATCCCCTGACGGAGCAGAGCAGCTTGGTGCTATAGCCAACAGTAGTGGCCCGGTCAGCCAGGGATGTGGTAAACTTGGGTGCCTCACTGAAGTCACGTTCCTTGTAGTCAGGAGGCTTGTAGTCAATGCCTGAAAATAGAGGAAAACACAAAATATGTAGAATGAAAAAAATTAGAAACATGAATTGCACCCATGGCCTTTTCTATACATCCCCTCACATAGGTGATGGAGAACAAAACTGTCTGATGCAGTCATATCGCACATCAAATGGTTTCTAACCTGTTTCTGAGTGAAAAGTCAGTGTGATGTCTGACTGTCCGCTCATAAGAAAAATAGAGGTAATTATCCAGTGAAATATCAGAAAACAATTTGCTGTTGTGTATATTGCGTTGTGCATCACGCTTTATCCAGGGATCACATAACAGATGTGTTTCTATTAGTGGAAACACATCTAATGTGGGCTGTCTCCTGTTTTGTGCCACATGTGAGAAAAAACAAATCCTGACCAGGTTGTCCGGGAAAAGAAATGTGACTAACGGGGTCAAAAGCCATTTTAAGTCATACAAATTTTTAGCAAGCTAAATCGATTTTGTTTTTTAGTTTTTATTGTAAAACAAATCAAAATGTTCATTTCTGGCTCCAGAACTGTCCTTTATTGAAATGCAAAAATTGTCAAAGATTTCAGAAGTGCCACTGCAACCCCCTCTGGCCTCTGCTCCATAGCTGCGGGGTGACCTCTCCTTTGGGGCTCTACTCAGCTCTTCCCAGGAGGGTGGCACGGTTCCCCCCCCTTTGGTGGTCCTCCTCGGGTCCTTGTACTCTGGGACCTCTGGATATCTGGGGCCTGGATCTCCTCCATACCTGCTTCATACCCTGGTGGACGGGGCTATGGCTCCCCACACGCCCTAGCAGATCATTACATGGAGAAACCTTTGGAATACAAGCATGCTGATCCACACAGGTATGCACACAGGTGTGCACACGGGTATTCACAGACGCGGACTACAGCTTTCTTGGCTGCTGCCTCAAAGCACATTGTGCGCTGTCTATCTTGCGTGCTGCACAATATCGTTTATTATTTAGTATCTACTGATATCTACTGCTAGCAAGTTTATTGTGATGGTGCTGTTTTTTTTTATTATGTTGCTCTTTGTTGTTTGCTTTCTCTTCTGTTTTTTTTTCTCCATACAGGTGACCCAGGTGTTTTTGTTTGTTTTTGGGGTGTTTTTTTGTTTTTTTTCTTTCTCCCCTTTGGTTTTCTTTCTCTCCCTCTTTCTTTCATTCTTTCTCCCTGTCCTATCCCCCAGTCATGTCTGTCCCGTTTGTAGCAACTGAAAATAAAATAAATTCATAATTATAATAAAGGTCAATCAAATGGACCAATATGGCAAGGCCATGATGATCCACTTGGTAAAATAAATCCACTTGGCATCTTTCTTGGCCTTAAGACAACAATTCTGATGGCTAAAGATCCAAACGGGACAAAAAAAAAAAAAAAAAAAAAAAAAAATTTCAGAAGTGGAGCATTCAGTCTGCACAAGATCTTTTATTTTAAGCTGTCTGGATTGTCTGCGGTTCCTGTAATTGATTTCCTCCCAATAAAGGAAATTGAAACCCAGCTGTTCTTGTTGCATTTTAGAGTAAGATTAAAGGGATTACAGTATACTGTACTAGTGGGTGATACATTTTCTTAATAGTAATCAAATAGTTTAATGTTTATTGGTCCCCTGATTAGCTGTCAGGGATTTCAACCACACTTCACGCTACAGAAGTGAATTTTTGATTCATTTAGTTCTATTCTAATGAACGTAAAACGGAAGCAATTCTGTTTGGCCCAAATCATTCCTCTGATATCCCTGATGTTGACCTTGCTGCTCTGACCCCTCACCTGAAGAGCTCGATTACCAATCTTGGGTTAAAAATCGACTCTGCACTTACCTTTGATGGCCACGTGAATGGGGTGGTGAAATCGTCATATCTATCAACTCAGGCGTCTGTCGAAGGTTAAACCTTTTCTTTCAAGGTGTGATTTGGAGACTGTTATCCACGCTTTTATAACCTCACGCTTGGATTATTGCAACTCCCTTTTAATAGGGGTTGGACTGGGCACTCTGACACGCCTGCAACTAGTACAGAATGCTGCGGCACGGTTTTTATCTGGTAAAAGGAAATTTGAGCACATTACTCCGGCCCTGGCCTCCCTGCACTGGCTTCCAATTGAATTTAGGATTCATTTTAAAGTTCTTTTATTGGTTTTTAAATCTTTAAATGGTCTGGCACCTGCGTATCTGTCTGATTTGCTGAAGCCCTATGTCCCCACTCGTTCGCAGCTGAGCAGCTGTTGCTCTCAGTCCCCAAATCACAGCTGAAACTGAGAGGAGACCGAGCGTTCTCTATCGTGGCTCCTAAGCTTTGGAATAATCTTCCTCTTCACATTAGGCAATCGACATCAGTGCTGGTTTTTAAATCCAGATTGAAAACGCATTTTTATTCACTGGCTTTTGACTCAGTGGTTGACTGACTTGTATTTTATTGTTTTCGCTATGTTTATTATTTTATCGTATTTATTATTCGTATGGTATGTATTATGTTTCTATTGTTCAGCACTTTGGTCAGCCTTGTGTGTTTTTAAAGTGCTATATAAATAAACAATGATGATGATGATGATTACAAAAAACTGTCCCTGCTCTCATTTAAATTTAGTTTAAATTTAAAAAAGACTTACTGATGGCAGATGCCAACAATTTCAAATCTAAGGCAGGATCCACTGCTGAATGAATGAATAAATTAAAACATTTCTGATATCTTCCTTCTAATGCCTTATAGCTCTTTTTAAAAAAAGTACCTGTCTTCAAGATCTTGGCCTCTTCTTTTGTAACAGCAGCACTCTCACTCATTCCACACTTGTTTTCACCAAACACTCTGAACTTGTAGGTGTTGCCCATGATGAGGTCTGAGATGGTGGCAGTCAGTCTGTTGTAATGCTCCAACACAGTGAACCAGTCCTTTAAACACACACACACACACACACAGACATGATGGATTATTAGCAGACGTATTGGGGATTCAGGACATGCGGTATGTAATTTATCAGTGGGATGCGACTATTAATCATCAGAATGAGTTAGCTGTTATGACCTGAAAACAAGCGGCCCTTTGGTACAGAATACTTACTCCAGTTTTTTTGTCCGCTTTCTGCACTGTGTAACCCGTGATCTCTGTGTTTCCATTGTCTTTGGGTGCAGTCCACTCTAGAGCAACATTGAAACCCCAGGTATCCACAATCTTTACAGTGGCAGGAGGCCCTGGCAGCTCTGCGAACAAACAGGCATGGGTTGAGTATCAAATAGGACAGTTTTAAAGGCATCTCACACAGTATCAGACATTTACTCACCAACAATTTGAAGGGTAATTTGAGCCTTGTCCTCAAAGTCATCCACCTTCACACACATCTCGTACACTCCAGAGTCCTCTCTCTCAGACGCACGGATGAACAGGATGCTGTCTCTTTCGGTACTGCGAATGTTCACCCTCTTTGTGTCAAGGGGCTGCCCGTTCTTTGTCCAGGTGACCACAGGTTTGGGTTTTCCCTGAGAGAAGAAGCAAACAGACAGTGAATTCCAGTGTGTTATTTATTACCCATGGAGTGATGCACAGAAATCTTCCAATCTTACTGTGAAGGGGATGGTCAGATTGATCTTGTCTCCAACATTAGCGACATATCTCTGCCTAAGAAAACGAGGTAGACGGACCTTGGGACGATCTGGAGAGGAAATCAATGAGGAAAATAATTAATGGTTATTTGAATTATTTTCTTTCGTATGCTGTTTGCAAGATATATGTATGCAGGACCCCTCCAACTTGCTTAGTGTAAATCATTCCTTCTCTCTTTTGGAACCCACCTCCACCCCATCTCCGCCTCACGCAAGTCACTCCATCCAAGTTTCCATCTTATCTTCACCACCACCAACATCTAGGATTGTGGCCTAATGCCATCACCGCTGGAATTTCATTCTCTTGTGTTAAGTCATCAGTCTAATCGCGAATAGCATAATTGAATTCTGTAGATCAATAAATCACGTTCAATTCCTTCTAATGATCTGTCCTTATTGAACAGAGAAACCAAGAACAAGGCTCAGTCATAGAATAGTGACTTGTGAATCATAAGGTACTGTCGCCCTATACATTAGCCTGATTTATCATTATTTATCATTTGTTTTACTCTCAATGGGAACCATTATTTAACATCGCATTGTCCATTCATCCATCTGTTTGATTCATTTTCTTCCGCTTATACAATTCAGTGCCACAGTTGAGCTGGAGCCTAACCCAGCTGTTATAGGGTGAAAGGAGGGATACACCCTGGACAGGTCACACCTAAAGACATATTAGAATCACTATTCAAACTAACATGCTTGGCTTTGGACTATGGAAGGATGCCAGGACACTCAGAGAGGACACGCAAAGGTCCCACCCACTAGATTGAAACCCAGAACCTTCTTGCGGAGAGATAACAGTTCTAACCACCACATCCTCGTGCTGCCTGCATTATGTTGTGTGAAAAATATATTGCAGTCTCTGTCAAGCAAGAGAGTCATTTTTAAAATGGTTTATTGTTATTTACACTAGCTGTGATATTTTTTTATTTATTCTTGATGAGTTTGTATAGTTGACTGTAGGCCTGTGCGATATGACCAAAATCTCATATCCCGATATAAGAATTCTATCATCCCATAACGATATAAATCACACAAATGTATCATTTTCTGTAAATTCTGTGAATCTCGGGCAGCTCGACTTGCGGGAAGTGTTTCCAGCTGCGCGTCATGTAGCTGGAGTCGAGTGTTTTAACAGATGCATGAAACTATACATTTTTAGACATAAGTTGTAACGGCCGCCGTTTTCTTTGTGAGTATTTATTACACGGCGTGCTGCGGGGAAAAGCCTGTTCTAACGTTTGAGTCTACGGTTTATTTTTTAGCACCTGGCGGCTCTTTTTTAATTCTCATCCGTAAACAATCTGCTCTTTCACGTGATTCAGTTTGTTTTGAAAAGTCTCAACAGGATCTTGAGTAAGTAAGTGAGGGAGCGATTAGGAGTTATATAGAGTCTTTCGATCTATTTAGTGCATTACAACATAGGAGAGTACTTAAGCAAGATAGTATTTGAGTGTACAGGCATGTAAATTCATATATATGCATCTTTATTAATATGGCATACACATGAAGTTGCATATGAAAGAAACTGAGACCTATGAACATGTAATTTTACAAACATTACGTTTGTATGTTTTCATGCCAAAATCAATATAAATCAAATTAACATAAAGTTGATATGAATGCCTTAATTGTTGCTTTATTTATTATCGTATTCACAAAAATTGATCTACACTTGTTGTTTAGTTCCTTGCTGTGTAGTCTCTTTTGTGCGATGTAACTGAAAGCTGACAATCAGTGAATGAAAAACAAATGTTTCAGATGGTTAAACACTTGGAAGTGTTCTGCTGTAGCTTGTTTGTAAAAGTGATTTGCAGAGAAGCAACACCTGCTGAGTGCAGCCCAGCAACATTTGTCAGGTCTCTAAATAAAGCAGGCGTACTTTAGTCAGTATATCGCTTCTCATGACGCATGATTTGGAGATTCGGTTACCCCCACTCACATCAGAATGCATTAAAATCGCAGATGAGATAAGCAGACACTCATCTGGACACTCCTAAAAGCAAATGATGAGTAAACATTAAATGGGATGTAAACTGTTAACTGTATAAAAATCAAAATCAAAAAGAGGGTAAGCTAAGGTATTAGAAAGTATACACTGCATGTTAGGTGTCTTATCACTTCATGTGGAGAGGATTAACCTTAATAAAGATTTGTGCTGTAAAGTCCATGGCATGTTTCAAGATAAACAGTGAATCTCCAGCGGTGTCATGAGATTTAGGTGTCATCTGAGAGGTTAGAAGGATACCATCCACCCCCTCTCTACTCTGAGTCAGGACACGCTGGAATTTCCCATCCACCCCCTCTCTGCTCTTAACCCTTCCCTAAATGCTTGCAGTCAGATCACTTGACACCATCGATCTTAGAGAAGGGAGCCTGACATTCCCCTCAGCGTGAATCCTGGCAGGGATCACGAAGCAATGCCAAACCCTCCATAGAAAAGTCTGTGTTAACAGCACAGACATCCCAGTTATTTTCTAAAGCTTTGTGGTAATTTTGTAGGAAACCATTCATAAGTTGATTCTATATGGAGGCCACCCGCTATGGTGAACACGATGGTTAATGTGACTACTGAAAGACTGCCAGTTCAGCTGGGATCAAGTTGCCTTCCCTCCCTGTTTGACTCTCCATTACACATAACGATGATTTGTGAGGGGACCCAGAGTCATGCAGCTCCTCCTTATAAAGCCCTCAGGGTCCAATCATCTTTCACAGCAATTCAGCTCAGATACATATACTGTCTATGATTAACACTGTAAGGTGTGCAGCAACAGTAAAACCGTCCACTTATCAAGTGTGTAATTATCACACTGTTGCCAGCTCGGTCGGGATTTCAACTTAGAGTGGAAACAAGAGAGAACACCACAGTTTTAAAACGCAACATTGCAGGCATGTGCCAACAGGACATGGACAGCTGAGAGGAAAAACATTGCTGAGCTTCTTAGCTTTGACTCCTGCGCTTTGCAACTCCCCTTTCACGTGATAAACTTTAGGCTATATCTGTTTCAGATGGTACGCACTGTCCTCTTAAAACACTAAATTTAATCATTTAGCACCTGGGAGAAAGTTTAATTCCATATATATGATGTAGAACGTCTGTTTATCTAGTGGATTTCTTAAACAGCACTGATGTAAAAATTGGGAAATAAGAGTAGAGAATGGCCTGATTTTGGAATGATTTTTTACAGCTTTTATGGTTGATTAATTGTAAAACAATTAGTTTATGGTATTAAATACATAAATAGTATGGACAATATATTAAATAGTATTGTTAATTCAGGATTTAGTACCCTTTAGTTTATCTTGTAAATAATTGGTTTTCCAAGAGGTAAAATTCCCTTATAGAAAATGTTCAGATTATGTTCTCTATTGGAAACACTTCTTACCAGCGACCTCCTTCACCAACACAGGCTCAGGGAGGCTAACGGGAGGACTGCGGCCACCTTCGTTCACAGCAACCACTCGGATCTTCAGGCGGTCACCAGTGGTTTGGTTCTTGATAACAAAGCGGGAAGACTTCTGCAGTTCTTCATTAACTGCTTTCCAATCCTCAGCTGGATGAGAAAAATTACACACAATGATGAATGAGTTTAAAAAGCTGTTGTTTTTCAAAGGAAGAGTCTGCCCAATATGCAAAATGTAGAAAGAGTGAGTTTGATTTTGAGTGAATTTATACAAATTATCAGGCACTAAGAAAAATGCAGGACAGTGAGCACTCCTTTTTTGCAGCGTTCATATTCATTAAATTTCTGTGTGGGTCTGCTAAATCAAGCCCGCACTGTATTGCTGCTGACATTAGCTTAGTGCTGTAAGTCTAAATGCAGAACGTCCAGCAAGACTGCAGCGGCTCCTGAAATGCCTCTTTCCTTGTAGGGAGAAGTTAGGTAGCTCGTGATATAACTCTGCGACTGACACTTCAGGAACAGCTGCTGCTGATGTGCCAGACACACTTTAAAACAGAAAAGAATAAGAATTTCCTGACTATATTTTGAAAAAATAAAAATGAAAAACTATGATGCAATTAAAGATGCACGTTGTGAAACCCTAAAATCTGCAGCTGAAAAAGTAATTCAAAGGTCAGCTGACATTTCTGTCAGGGTATATTAATACCACTATCTGACCCCTTTCGTGGACATGCTGCTATATGATGCACGTGGTTCAGAGAAGAGCAGGGCTTACTTCCATCCTTGCAGACTTCAATGGTGTACCCATCTAGACCTGAAGCCCCAATATTCTCTGGCTGGCTCCAAATGATAGTGACCGAAGTGTCGTTCTTATCCTCAACAAAGAGATCCACAGGAGCGCTTGTGGGCTCTGCAGATGCCACATAAAATACAATTATTACATGAATGAATTTTAAAGACAAAGCTTATAGTATGTTGGAATACATTTCCCTATTTTAATGTTGTAATAAGCACAAAGCAAATGACAAAAAACAATGAAATAGGTTTCTTCTTCAAGAAAAGGTTACCTTTGGGTGGTGGGGGCGTAGGTGGTTTAGGCTCTTCTGGTGCAGGTGCCTCAGCAGCTTCAGCTGATGTTAAACAGGCATTTGTATTATTGTTGGCAGCATATAATGAGCAGAGCGACAGCATCAAATATAATCCAGCTATGCATCTCACAGCTCTCTGTCCCCTTTGCTGGGAATTCAAAGGATTAACAATGCTATCACATGGAGAATTTCCATCCAGTTAGTCTCAAATGACAAAATCATCTCAGTTGTTAAGGAGAGAGAGGAGTGAAGAGGAACACGTTTTCTATTTTTGCAGGTTGGATTAACACCAGCAGAGACTGCTGCTGGTGCAGCCTCCTGTATCGCTGCACTCAAAGTAGTTATTATTAAGTGTTATATATTATCAATTAATGCATTGAGGAAGGTGGAACATGTTTTGAGACTAAGCACTGCAGAAAGTTTTATCAACAAGTCACTTAGAGTAGTTGCTAAAGCACTAATGAACAAGTGAAGTCCTTTAATTTACCATCATCAGTGGAGGCAGCTGGCAATTCCTCAAAAGCAGGAGTGGCAGCTGATATTAAGGGTTAGTGCACTCATTTTTATGGTAGAAGACATCACTGAGTGTGCATTTCCAGCATGGAGTTAAACGATTCAAATAAAAATGAACACATACTCCTCTGTGTGACTGTGAGTCAAGTCAGTGGGAGCATTGATGTTGGCGCTAGATTTCAAAATCAGTGTTCAACAAGACGAATTTAAGTGTTGTAGATTATAGAAAAACGTATTTTAGTCGATAAACATGCACTGTCAACATACATTCCTACAACAAACGTTTCATAATGCACTGTGACTTTTAGGATTATCTGCTTGTAAAACATGCAACATGCAAGTTAGCGTCATTATGTTTCTGCTAAGTAAGCATTTGAACAGTTCACACTGACCCCTCAGAAGTGCACGTGTCTAAAAAGTTACCATTGGATCAATTAAAGAGTTAACGACTTATCAAAAGTTCAGCCATCGAGAAAAATGATTAAAGGTGGGCCGTTTGAGACACTGCTGTGCACGGGTAATTACCAGGTGGCGCAGCCTCTCCCTCGGCAGCAGGGGCCTCTCCCTCGGTTGGGGCAGGCGCAGCTTCAGCCGGGGGGGCCTCCACGGGAGCGGGCTCCGGGGCGGGTTCAGGAGCCGGCTCTGGAGCCTTTGCCTCCTCTTTCTTGGCTGGTTCTTTCTTAGCCGCCTTCTTGATTGGGGCAGGCTTGGACGGCATGTTGGAGATGGCAGCTAATTCCCAACTCGTTTAAGTCCTTCGAACTGTATCCAGTGCCATCATTCCTGCGGGGGTGGCAGGCTTATATATGGCTCGGCACTTTCAGACGCCGCCCCCTAATAATGTATTACATGTAATGGATACCGACACCATGTATGACTCAGACCCCACTCAATTTGTCCCAGTCTGTACACTCACTGTACATACTGTATATTACTAACTGCTTTACTAATTTAAAAAAAAAGCCTTTTTAAATCAATTTGATATGATGATGAACTCTATTACTTAATGGTTACTGCAATTCCTAGTAACAGGTCACTCATGTCAACTTGAACAAGAAGCAACAGAATAAATATAACATGTATTTTATTAATTTCAACAAACAGTGATAAGTGGATGAAAGCCTTCAGAAGCATGCCTTATCCATGTATTGGACCCAACTTTGAAGAAATATATCTTTCTCTCACAGATTTAGTTTTTCCTCCTCAGTGATTGTTGCCGCATCCAGAATGCTGACATATTTACAGACTTTACAATGATGCCCTGTACAAAATAGAGAAATTAACTTTTACAAAGGATTCTTTAGAAAAAAAAAAGAAATATCAAATATCTGAGTATTAAAAAAAGAAAACATTATCATCTATTATCAATGATTTTCCTAAACAATGCATTAATGTTAACATTTTTTCATCACACAGCAAGTTTACATGCATTTACAACACTTAGAAACCCTTGACATTTGCACATTAGTGACAATGCATACATCGTAACATTGTTTTCTTAATCTTAGTCCACAACAAGCTTTGCGAAAATATGACTATTCAGCAACATGTATTGGCCTAAGATGTCAGATTGTTTTTTTTACTTGTTTTAATGCAGACTAACTGCGAACTATTTCCACCTCATCTTTTGATTTTTTAACCTCCCTTGAGGGGACTGTTGTGATTTGATAAACTGGAACTGAATTGCTTTTTATTTCGTTTTTTATTGTCATTTGACGATTTACAAGTCCAGCTGCATTACTTTAGTTGCCATTCATAAGGACAAAACATCAGCTAAACTTATGAACCCTGTCTTCAATGTATCACCAAACAAATCCTCTTCTCTTTAAGGCTCTGTATCTTCAGCTGACACTTATCATGTGGTGCAGTTTGGTCCGAATTAAGAACTCAAAGCCCGACCATATGAAAACACAGCGTTTGTTTGTGAATTTCATCATTGCTGATTGCCAACACCAGTAGAAGTTGCTGCATAGTCCCAGTACACTAGTAAGCAAACACAAATCACAGCTACCACAGAACAACAGGCACAATAACCAGTGAATGAGAAGCTGGAGTTGATGGCTTTAGTTAACCTGCAAAACAGATCAGAGAGGGGCTTGTAACACAGTCTGATACCTCACATATTTACAGTAATCAAAGTCAGCATGATGTCAGGGTAAGAGTCCCAGACACTTGACATCGTTTTTGCTCTTCGATGTCTTTTCTTCATTCATTTTTTAGTTTGCTTGTGACCAGTAAGAGCTGCAGATTAGCTTGAAAATTTAAAACCAGCCTTATACAAACAGTGCAATAAAGCAAATAAGCATGAAGCATCTCAGACATAAGTTTTTAGACTTTCTTATTGAGCTGTCTTTAAGTGGTCCAACATTCATTTACAGGTTTTACTTCAGGTGAAGTTTAGTCTGAGCACCAAAATGTTGGGGATAAAGAATTATTTCAACACCACTTGCACAACAATCTGTCATTTACTCCATAGGGGGCGTGTTTACACACATCTACACCAAATTCTTCATAAAGCATTTTAAATCTTTTTAACTCTTGCCTTGGAATAAGCATTCTCTACTACTTGATTCTGCATCATGTGCCCAAAATCCTCTCAAACATAAATACTGCAGGACATCAACTCGGGTATATACCGTATAAGATCTCACATGACTTCAGCCACTACAGAATGTCTTTAATAACATCTCCTATGAACTGTCACACATTTTCTTCCAAATATATTTCATATTTCTTTTGCGGTTGACAGAAATTACAGACAACTTTTTGCTAACCTACCCAGAACATCTACACAGCTTTTATCCAACACTAAAACAGTTTGGGACATTTTTAAGGAGCACCATGAGTACCGTACCTAAATGAAATTAAACATGAGTGGGGAGAAAATGTTCTTTTTGTTTGTGAAGCGTGTAAAAAATGAAACGGAAACAGGCAGCTCTAAAGCCACCCTGCTCAGCCATTAATAAAAGTGTTTAGCAGTAGAACTTTGATAAGGCTTACTTTAAAAGCACCTCCTACATGACTGTTATACGGCTGCTGTATAGGTATTTTCTATACATTCATAGTTGAACTTAAAACCCTAACTTGACAGTCAATATGCATGATTAAAGTACAGTATTTGGTTCAGTATATTCGATATTTGCACCAACTAATGTAGATAAAGTAACTGCAATGCAATCTGACTGTATTTACAGAATATACACAGTAACTAGTCTGAATGTTTGGGGAAAGACTTGAAAGAGATGTGCCTTTTCCTACATAAATGTTCTAGAGAAACAATCTTGAATTGGATTTAAATAACATTTACTCGTTATGTCTTCATTAGAGGTTGTTTGTTAAGTTATATCATCCCTGTGTAGTAAGTATCTAATACCTGATACATATGGCGACATTGGTGGCACTACTTAAGTAGCGACTAAAACAAAATTAAGTGTGCAGCGACAAAGTGATGAACTTACATCACTGATAAATAAGTTCTGTTTTATGCAAAAGAGTATGACAGCAGATTTAACTGATAAACTATGAAGAAGATGGGAAAAAGTAAAAATATATTTTGAAAATTCTGCTTGGAGTGTTCAGACTTTTTCTTTTTTTTTTTGCTGTGAAACGTAACCATGATGAACTGTAATATATAATATAGAAAGCTGAAGAAACAGCTTAGGATGCGGCTGTCTTAGGATGTTATTGATAAAAGCACCAGTATATTCTGCTTAAGTTGAGGTGACATTGATGTCTTTGTCTTAAGGCATATCATAAGTTTCACCTGCTCGGGCTGTAGAGTTCAGGATTGCATATATGTAAGATTTGGCCTTCAAAGACTGATACAGTAGATATGTGCCAAAGAACCTTGCAAGAAAGACTGGTATCTGTGATGCTGTCATACTCTTTTCCAATGGCTCTTTTTGACAAACACTTCAAGGTGCCCTTGAGCATAAAACAGGATTGACCGTGTGTTTTGTTGCAGAAGTCCCCTGAAGCTGAAGTGCTGAGCTGATGGACTTCTTAACAATCCACTAGCACCAATCTAAAAGTACTGAGGGCTACCATACTGGTAAAGATATCTGATTTATGTGAAGTGATTCTTAAATATATAATTAAGTAAGAGAACATAGCTTTTCATTTAACAGTTTTTTGAAAATACTGAATGGGTTAAATGATTTGGATTTAATAAGTCATATTTTCAAACTTCTCCTGCAGGAATGATGGTTTTTAATAGCCCCACAACCATTTCTGAGGGTCCATTTGTTCCTGAATATGCACTGCATACACTGCAGTACAGTAAGCAAAAACAAAAAAATTGGAGAGCCAAGTGTTTAGGTGTGAGCTTTGTATTCAAAGTTTAGGCAGGCTAGGGTCTTCTTTGTCTGGTGATTCAATGAAATTGGCAGCCTCTTGAAGTTTCAAAAGCATTGCCATCTATAAAAAAACAAAAGAGAGATTTGGGAAATTAGAACTTCTCAGGTTTGCAGATCAGTTTAAGAAATAATAGAAAGTATTGGGACACTGTCTCTATTACCAGAGGATCATTTTCCATGGAGCTGGGCGGAGTCTCTTTGTGAGGCCTCTCCTCACTTGGCTGGCAGGGGCTGCTGGAGCCGATGCTGGGAGGAGGTAGGTGGAACAATTTTGCCTGGTCCTGCTGGGCAGATGGCCAAGGCAGGGTGCCCCTCACCCACTCCACTGGGTCCTCCCATACTGCCTTTTGGCCATGGACCTGAGGAGTCACAACATAGCACCAAAGTAAAATTAGACTACAGCATTTCCTGTGAAAGGAAATACAATGGTGCTTTCAGAGAATAATCAAACTGCAAATTAATCTTGACCAAGTTTTATTTCAACAAGAATTACTTATTTTATTTGCTGTTATGGCTGCCCTAATCAATAAAAGCTGATTAAAACGTTTTCACTTTAAATGATTAAAGTGGTTCACCTTGATGCCATCCTTGGCCCCTTCTTGCAGGTATGGTATGATAGAGTGGTTCCAAAGATCAATGAACCATGATCGAAACTCATCCACTGTGACTGGACAGGATAAGAAAAAGCAAGGGCCTAAAGAGAAAAAAACAGAAAGAAGAGTGAGAATGCAGCAACAACTATCACATCGAAACTAAACCTGTTTCTTCATTCCTAAAGTTATCCTCTCTCAAGTGCTTCATACCTATGAGGAAATCCGATGTGCTGTGCTTCTCTAGGAAGGTGTGCAAATGATACCACAGTTTGGGAACCCAGTCTAACACCCTGATTAGATCCTCATTGGTCAAGTTCCTCTCATCTTCGGACTCCATCAACTTCCTGTGCAAGTATCGCACAAGGAAGCCATTGGCTGGCTCCACATTATTGGAGAAGGTCACCATCCTGAGACAATGAGAAGCATTGCATGTCACAACGCTAGACTTAATAGTTTGTTAACAACATATTTCATTATTTAAGAAGGTTTACCTTTAAGCTACACCAACATTAGATACATTGTAGTTTATAGTTAATGTTAAAATGATAGAAATGAGCTATTCTTTATAAACTACTATTAATGTTAATATTTATATAATATTTAAGACGTCTTTTTATTTTGGTCTTTTGGCTTTTAGAAGCCTATCATTATCCTCTTACTTATAGTACTGGGACAGCATTATTGAATGAAGCATGCAAAAATTCTTCAACCAGCATTAATAGTTTCAACAGGTTATTGCTATATATTAGTTACATAGTCATTTATAACCAACCTGAAGCTGAGATGCAGGCCATGGTTTGCGATCATCTTCACTGGCTGATTGCTTGTTCCAACAATGTAAGGGCTAAACAATATTGCACAGTTAAGGCCACATTCAGCACCTACATAACTATGGTTTATCAAGTTGTATTCATGGAGACGAAGTTTACCATTTGTGATATTTGCAGGTTAGAGCACCATTGACAAGTTCACTGATGGAAGCAGGATCATGAATATCATCCAGAATAACCACCAATGGTATTTCCGTTGCGCTTTCCCGGTCTATTTGATTCGCTAAATTAGCAAGATAAAGCTGCAGATCCTACAAAGAAAGAGACAGAGATTGCAATACAAAATGATAAAAGTAAAATCATACAGGTGCAGACTGGACAAACTCAGTCTGTGGAAGAAGAATTGTGGGGGATCTTTAAGGTCACATCAGTTTCTGTTACCTTGCATGACTGGCGGTGCATGTTGAAAGTGACCACAATGCCATCCGTGACTTCGCGAGCACTGCGGTCCACCAGGTACTCAGCCAGCCGGGAAGCGAGGTACGTCTTCCCAGTGCCACTCGGCCCAGACAAGATTAGACGACGATGTTTGAGTAGAAGACTTATGTAGTGCTGCATCATGGGTTTGGGAATGAGAGTTTCAAATACCAGGCTGTCCACACACTTCTCCTTCAAACCTGAGCATAGTGAAGGAAAGAAAGAATGACTTGCATGATCAACTGCTCTAATAAACAAAGTTGATGACTATCTGCTAATTACATTGGATGTATCAGCGATGGTGATAAAGTGCAGTTTGATACATGATATTTAAATGCTTGATTGGAATTCTGTTAATATCTATACCAGAAAAAATACACATTGCAAACTGGACTGGCTTCAGTCAGAAGATGTTGTGAAAACAGATTTATATTACTTTGCATGTCCTTCATAATCAGCACAGAGCTCAAGCATTTCACTCTAAAAATAGTTCTGCATCAAGTGTAGGAAGTCTTTGCACCCCCATCCCCCAGCCTGCAGAAGTGCAATCTTCCTTAACATCTATGGGGCCCATGTGTCTGACGCTGGTCGACCAGCTGGGCCTGACTGCCCTGAGATCATGTTACTCAGAGCCCTGTCTGGGCTGCCGCTGCTTTCCCAGCTCTCCGAGCACTTGGCTCCTCGCATTCCTGCATGCGAAGGTGGAGCGGGGTCAACCACCAAACCAGAACCATGACTGTTCCCACCAATCATCACTCTGGTTTAGAATCACTGATGGGCTCAACATGTGTGCAACTCAACAAAACAAAACAGTGCCAAAGGGTAAATGCTTATACCTCAAATATATAATCCTAGTGATAACGCTAAGTGAGCCTCTGACAGCAGGTCACGTTGTTGTTTACATCTATATCTGTTTAGACATGACCTTTGACCTTCTAGATATAAATCACATAATTTTATTGTATTGATATTTGTTGAACTTTGTTATAATATACATAGGAATGCATTTGAATTCTTGCATCAAGGCCAAAAATCATTTTTGTGGGGTAAAACAAACAAATACTTTGAATGTTGAATTCCAAACTTTACGTTTCAATACTAATCTGAATGAATTTACTTCTAATTCTGTGAATAAAACATCTTAAATTTAGTAGCACTTTAGAAGTTATACATTTTCTACAAACCTTTCAGTGCCACTGTGATGCTACTGGGGCCTCGTGACATGCAGCGAGAGGGTTGTGTCTCAGGAGCTTCTCCTCCCAGCACTCTCTTAATGTGGCCCATACTGTAACTGTAGATGGAATCTGTAGACAGTCCCAGACTGGAGGTGGGGTCCACCTTGGCTATATATACCTGGAAGAAAAAGTAAAGAAAAGCAGAACTGAGTAAAACTAAGTAAAGAAAACTCCTTACAAGAAGAAGAAGAAAAATAAGAAGAAAAATATGTACAGTACAACAAAAAAATATAACAAAATATACACAGTATAACAAAAAATTACGAAGTTTTAGAGCTATTCCTCCACACAACACATTTAGTTTTATTACCACCACACAAACAAAATGAATGAGCTTTCAAGCCCATTACCCTCGTAACAAAATCAGAAAGTTATTTTAAGTTTACAGATGCAGCTCAAAAATTAGAATTATGAAAAAGTTTGTAATTTCCATTTAGTCTATCATATATTAAATTTTCAATATTAGTTTTGATAGTTAAACCTTAAAGCTCCTTCCATAAAAAAATAACTCAAAATATTTGAATATTTCAATTTAAGTTTAAGTAAAGTACTATTAAAATGGTATGAATACTGTGTACCTGTCAGTTCAGTATATGCAATCACAATCATGCAGAAGACTACCGACTTGACAGTTGTCCAGACGATGATCACTGACATTTCCCACAAGGAGAGTAACCTAGCGAAAGTTATTGCTAAAAGGTTGACTGTCTTCAGAGGCTGTACTGAAGCATACTAATGGAAAGTTGACTGGAAGGGAAAAGGGTGGTAGGAAAAGGTGTGCAACCATCAAGGATGTCCTCAGTCTTGAGAGGATTGTTGAAAAAGTCAATTCAAGAACTCCGCAAGGAGTGAAGTGAGGTTAGTTTAAGATACAGATATCTTCAGCAAGGTGCTACAACTACAGCTGGACCTGACTGTTGCTCAATGGTACAAAGTCTCATTTTTTTAGATGACTGTAAACTTACATTTCAAAGATTTACTGTCTACTGTTTACATTTTAAAAATCAAGTCCCAAGAGACTGCAGGAAGAGTAGAGAGGTAGAGAATCCAAGAAGTTTGAAGTCCAGTTCGAAATTTCCACAGTCTATAATGATTAGGGGTGCCATATCATCTGCTGGTTTTAATGGTGGTTGCTGGTCCATGATGAGGATACTACAGATGTTGAACATTTCTCTACTATAAACTCTTTTTGATTGATCTTGGGAAAATCATAATAACTTAAGACACTGGATTTCTAATTTTAATGAGCTCTAAGCCAGAGTCATCAAAATTAAAAGAGAAATGGCTTTAAATATTTCACTTTATGTGAATGTAGAAGATATGAGTTTTTGAATTAAATACCATTTTCAGAAGCACTGGTATGTATGTTTTCTGTGTCTTACTTTACACCTCTGAACAGCGCTCCTGATGCTCCTCTTGATGCTAAAGTTAATGTGACAGCTGAATTGTAATTGTAAGCATGCTTCAAATTTGCATTCAGCTTTTTAACAGGTTGCAGTGAATGAGGATTTCTCACCTTAAAAGCCTGACTGACAGCTGAGTCAAGCATCACCCAATCCATCCTGCCATTCACTCTGACAGTGCCGACAAAGAAATCCTGCTGTTTAACCTCCTGTTGACACAAAGTGAAGTTAATAGGTGATTCACAGGTGACAGAGGCAATTTAAGAGGAAAGGAAGGATTTAGAAAAAGCAAATTTATGAAAACATACATCTTTAAAGACACGTAGATCCGCAACACAAACCACGACCCTGACACGATGGTCATCTCTCTGTGAGGAAAGGCTGAGAGAATCTGCAGTGTGGATGTCTGCTAAGCAGTAAATCAAAGAGTGTATAAACAGAAAAAAGAAAGCTAATGAGGCACAAGTTGAAAGTTGAAAACAAGCAGTGTTAATTTTGCATTATATTCTGTATCTACTGAACTGTAATTTTAAAAGCTCATATTTTATAGACTTCAGAACAAAAGCATGGATTTTTACATCACCATGTATTAAATGACCAAGGAAACAAGTAATGGATTTTGACTTCCTTGACACTGTAACTTTAATTTTTATTGTTATCAGACATTTAATCTCTGGGCATATAGATTCTAAATAATGGCATGAGGCAATTATAGGGATTCTAGAAAATCCAATGATTTCAGTGATACTGAATTACATTAAATTATTTTTTCTTCAAATAAATTCGGTTGAGAAGTTCTTTTTATCATTCAGATAAACATGCTTATTTTCACTGTTCTGTTTTGTTTTTTTACCCAGTTATCTGACTCATTGTTGCATTCTTACTCCTATAAATATAAATGTCAAAGACTGAGCTGTACCTGAGCTGCTCCCCTCACTCAGCCCTCTGCTGTAGCTTTTAGGCACGTGCATGGCTACTGACTGTCGGGGTGATGAGCTTCCCAGAGCAGTGAGACCTGAGGACTGGGAAACAGAGCTGGAGGGTCCAGGAGATGGACAGGGAGACAAAGTACCTGTCTTCAGATGGTCGTTCTCAGCCTTCAGGTTTTCGATTGTCCTCTATTTAAAAATAAATAAATTAAAAAAAAATTACCGATCACTGCACTGTTTACCAATTGCAAAATACAAAACACTAAAGGGTAAGATTTTTGCAAAAGCAAATCAACTGGTCTAGACAAAAATCTTCATAAAATAAACATCCGGCTGGAAAATGAAATGCACTTTGAGGCCAACCTTTTTATGAAACAAACAAAAGACAAAATTATATATACCTGCATGTTGTTCATGGCCTCCTGCAGGTGCTCCAGCTGATGGGCTGAACTCAGAGCCTCGAGGCGGATGTCTGTCAGTTTACGCTCCTTCTCCCACAGTTCTGAACGCAGGTCTGTTACAACCTTATCATCACCTGCCTCACTCCCTTCAGAGAGTCTGGTGACAATGAAATTATGGGAAAATTATCATTATGGTACTGTAGCAGGGATCAGAGGAATGACAGGAAAATAACAATTTTACAGAGTTCTGTGATATTCTGTTTTCACATCTACGAGAATTTTGTATTTATTTATATTGTGATTCAATTCCTTATTTGATATGCATATAAATAGAACAATGATAAAGATCCTTGTATGGTACCTTGAAGATGATGCTGAGGCTGAGGATTTCATTGACACCGGAGGGTTATCTCCATCATGGTGGATTTTGGGGGAGGAAGGTGCTGAGGATTCTGGGGTGGCAATCTCTTCAATGTCAGCATATGGCCCAGTTGGCTTTGAGCCCTTCTTACTAAAAGCCTTGTTGAATGAGCTGCGTAACTGTTGGGAGAATACATGAAATTGAGATGTAATAAATAACAAGCCTGGGAAAAAAACAAGAATAAAAGCAAAAGACAGCTGAAAAGAAATTCTTAAAAAGTGATTGTGATGACCTGAGAGTTCACAGAATGTGGCTTTTTTTTTTTTAAACAAAAAGTAGGCAAATATAAATTTCCAAACAAAAATAAGTTGGTGAAATGTTAGATTTACAGCAAACTAGTTTAATAAAACCCATTTAGTATGTTGGGGTTTTCAGTTTCTGAAAATTGTAACAGCAGTTTGAAGTCCACAAGACAATAAATTTAATAATAAACATTTAATAATAAAGCATGATTAAATCATACAGTAATTGTGTATGTTTGAAAAACAGACAAACAAAAAAAGGGATGACAGAACATTTCCCAACATTTAGGAAGTATGACTCAAAGCACATGCAGGCTGGAGTGGAAAAGGTTTGAGTTTTATTTACTGTAGCAACATCACTCACCTCAAAGACCTAAAATAAAAAAGCGGGGCAGCATGAGGGAGAGACCAGAGTCATATTTAATACAAAAGATGGAACAAGACAGGAGGCGAATCACACACACACAAGCAGGAGCGTAAAGTAGGACAACAACTGACTTTTTCCAGTCTGAACACACAAGACACAACAAGAAAAGGAAGCAAGACATGTTCATTCATTTAAAAAATTCATCCATTTAACCATTGAGCTGTATTGTTATAATCACAATTAAAAGCAATTATAATTCTATAGCTCCACCATACATTTCAGATGTTATATGTAAGACAAAAAGAACAAAAAGACCCAGTTTTATCAACACAGTCACTGAATGTGGTCAGTCTGATCAATTTGGAATCACTAAATTGATACCAATATTGTTACTTTCATCTCGTTTCCTGATGATTTGTATGAAACAATGAAATGTATTTGTTTTTCCTGCCATATATTGTCCTGCACAGACGCCATACAGGATGGTACATTAAGACTCCTGGTGAACTTCTTAGGCACAAATTTAGTCAGTGACCAGTGTTTCCTCACCCAGCTCTTCTTCTTCTTCTTCTTGGCCTCCTGCTCCTTGAGGCTGCCCATGCTCGAGTGGCTGGTGGTGCTGGTAAGACTGGAGAGGCTTTCTGAGGAGTTCTGGCGGTTGATCTGCAGCTCTGAATACCCAAAAGAAAATAGAAGAGTTGAACAAAGAGACAGAAGTATATGACAGTCAAAATCCTACTGTATATCATAAAGCGCAGTCTGTACCTTTGGGTGTGACATCAGGATTACTGAGGGCCCCCTGAATGATTTCCTGGGCTTCAGTATTTTTGGCCTTCAGAATGTCAATGGTGTCCTTCAATTCAGTAAGCTCAGAGTCCTTAAGGAAACATCAGTATGTAGTCATGTTAGTTGATGGGTTAGTAACTGAGCCAAATTTTTTCTGTACCGACGACTGTGGAATGCCTCTTCACTTTCACTAAGGATGTCAGGTTGTGTTGAGTGACAACATCGAAATCCTATCATGACTCGCATCTCATTTTCATGACAACTATGCAACTTGGTCTCTTTTTCACTCACAAAACTAACCTAATGAGCAGAGTGCATAGTTTATGATTAACATCACTGGACATTTATTTGCTGATTATGTAGTAATTTCTGTCTGCTTTTAGCTGTCATGTAAGAGATTGTTTATGGCGTGTTTCTAATGTTACCTACTTTTCTCATCAAATTTCCTCATGTAAATAAATGGAGACTGGCACAGACTTCGCTACCGTTATAGTATTCAATCATCGATGTAATATCGCCAAAATACCTTTTGATCTGAGGAGACAGACAGTGTCTGCAGGCGTGCTGTCATCAGGGCCAGACTTTGTTCAAATGCTGCGACCAGATTAGCCTATGAGAGAAAGACACAGAGTTAAAAGGCTACAAAGAGAGAGTGTGTGTCTGTGTGTGAAGGATGGTGAGGCAGCAGACAGGTATGAGTCACCAGCTGAAACAAATCGATTTGCAGCCTCACACACTCACACCACGTCAAACAAATAGCTTTCTTCATCTGCTGGGAGAGGATAGAAGGGATGGAAGAGTCAACAGCTGCGGATGATGTCAGAGGTAAAAAAGGACATTATGGTAATGGTGGTAATGTTCAAGGGGATGTTGCACTATGGGACAAAGGTTGTTAACCTCAAAAGCCATGGATAACAAAATCACATTTAATTAGTTAACAGGTACATGTGAGTTTTTCTTTGTTTTACAATAAATCGTTTCTACAAGCATCTTTTTGCAGACTTATTTTTTCAGTTGTTTTAGAATATCTTCCATGTCCAAAAGTCCACTTGTTACTACCCTCTGGTATACATTTAGAGCTACCTAAAATACATTTTTTGTCTCATACTGCTTGACTCATTATTAGGTTTGCTGCTGACCTCCTCAGAAGCTTTTAAAGCTATCCTAACCACCTAAGTAAAGAGCAGTCAGCTACTGAATTGTCACTAAGAGCAGCAGACCTTCAGCAAACCTAATATGTTACACTACCGGAAAGACGTTCCAGTAAAACTCATGTCAGCCACAAAACTAAAACCTAAAAGTAAAAAATAAGTCAAAGTTAAACTATACAAAGAGACGCCGCAGAAAACTGTGCTGCAACATTTTTTTAGATCAGCTGTTTTATATTAAATAATGAATGTAACTGTTAGTCGTAGCTCTATTTAAAATGAAAATTAGCATTCAAATCGGAAGGCTTACGCCACACCACAACACAAGACCACCATGTCAGATGTCACAAGAGAGTGAGACAGGGTGCTCTGAAAGTAACTAACAAACCTGGCCTAGCTGCTACACACAGCATCCAGAGGTACAGGACAGTGGGAGGCAGGCAGAGGGCAGCAGTGAGTCCAGCAGTCAATGCAGCCCAGGTTGTAAAAAAGAGGGATAATGGTGTTAGGAGAGCGAAAACCTCTTACAAAAACATACGGACAGACCAACAAACACACTTAGTTCCCCATACATACATCAAAACATCCAGATTAGTCAACAGCAAAGCCTGTTAGTGCATGTGCAAAAGAAGAATGTTGTCTACTGCATCAGAAACTGCAGATTAAAGGGTCACAAGCTGTACAATAAGATAATTAAAAGTAGCTGGGATGGGAAAGCTGGTAGAAACAAAGTTACAAGCGAGTATCCGGGTGTAGGGTTACATGATTTTGTTTAAGAGGATACAGATTTTAATAAATGCGGGGGGAAAGTAGTTATAGAGAGAGAAGACGTAATTCGGCCTAAGTGCAATTAGAGGGGTAAATCTTAGGTTCTGTGTCCAGCATGCTGTTTAAGTAGATGCCAGGGTTACAGTTAGACTACATTAAAGTTAACTAATGTAGTTGTTTTTTTTAATTTTCTTAGATTAGCAAAGATTTACACACCCAGATAAGCCTCACAAAACTGCGGGTACACCTGCTTTTAGTTGGTTATGGGACAAAAGTTCAATGACTTAAATCAAGTGGAATTTACATTTGTGGTTGAGCACTTTGAGAGAATACCTGTTATGTAGCCAAGTTATTATCAGATTAACTTTGGAAAACAGACAGAAAACGAGGGTGGAGAGATACAGGAGGTAGGGGTAAGGCTTACGTACATTGGCAGAAAGCTGCACGGTTAAGTTGGCAACCTTTTCCTGGGAGGATTCCAGCTCCCGTCTCAACTTGCGGATTTGCTGTAGACAAATAGTAAATCAAGTTTGAACAGTATGACCACAGCACCATACACAATACCTCAGACATAAAACCAGAGCTGATGAAGATGTTAACACAAACTTTGATAATGATAATGCAGTAATGGAATGTGTTAAATGCATAGCTTTGTTTGGTTAAATCAAAGACTGTATAAACAATGTAACATGAAGGTTAATGCTCCACCACAGCAATCAAAATAATCCAGAAATATACTCTAAACCAACAGAAATTGGATGAAAGTCTCTTTTCAACTTATTTCTCATGCACTCAGAATTTAATGAGAACTGGCTTTCTTTATGAAATGTTAGAATGTATTGTTAAAGAACATAAAATATTAAAGATAAAACTAAATGAACTGAATGAACTGAGTTATGAGCTTCTGAGATATAATCTCAGACTTTCTGAAGCACCAGTGACACCATCTGATGACAGAACCCATTTCAACAGGAAATGACAGACGGCGAGTACAAATGCAAAATGGGATCTGAAGATGTATGGCATGTTTGCCTTACCTCCCCTTGTATCCTCTCCTCATTCTTAAGAAAGCATGGCGAAAGTAAGAGGGATAGTGTAGAGGATTCAGTTCACGGGCAGTCATTAAAACTAATCATCAAAACAAATATAACTCAGAATAGTTATCACTACCCCGATACCAGCTCATGAAGAGGCTTAGGAATCAGCTGGACAGTTTCATAAATGCATACAAGAACTTTCCCATGTCAAACCAGTTGATAACTTGTAGTTATGGAAGCTGGTCTCCTAATGAGAAATTCACCCTTATCCTACACAGGAAATACTTTTAAAAAACAGCCTCCTGGATGATTTGTAGACATAAAGAGGAAGTACAATGCTACAAGATTAAAAGTAAAACATTTCCTATGCTACAAAAAAGAGACTGTAAATACTCACTGAGGAATGGTTGGATGAAGCATTAGATGCCAAAGACAGCACAGAGCCATGCACTGAAAACACAAGGTAGAGTTGTAAGCTTAATATTAAAATTTAGTTTCACAGAAGGCAGCGTTAATTTGCAAAGTAACAAAGAAATGTTGAAATGATCATAGACCAAAATGATAAATAAATGACTAAAGAATCTAGAAATTAAATATTTTTTAATATACCAAAGGCTCCCTCAAATCCTATTCAATATTCTATAACATTATAAAACAGTATGTGACTTAGCTGACTTTATACAGTTAAAAATAAAGCATATCCTGTTTAAAATTCATTCAGATTTCTGTAATTAAAAAAATACTTAAATGTGTAAAAACAAACCAATTCATTAAGAAACTGAAGTTAGGGGTATCCTAATGTTGGACTCTGTATTAAAATGTCTGTAAATTATCAAAGAGTTGTAGCAGGATTAAAATGTTGCTGTTTTGTATATATTTTCACCACAGATTATGCCCTTAAACGAGTCTAACATTCTGCTTAGATTGCAGATAGACAGATTGTGTGCAGTATGAGTAGACAGCTTTGTTTCATTTGAGGTCATATTGGGAAGCTCCCCTGCAGGGAAGTGAGTCAAACAGACTCACCATCCTCTCCTGGTTCACGGAAAGACCCAGACCGCATCATGCTTTTTGGACGGTCAACCAGGGACATACTGCTGCCCAGAGGGGAGGATCCATAGAGATCGCAGGCAGAATCACTTGGGGGGCCTATGCTGTTGGACCGCGATATCCTTGGGGTGCCACTGGAAATTGGGGCAACTATCATAACAGATAGTTGGTATGGTTCAGTGCTCCACACAGATACATATATGCATACAAAACAGTCCTACACCTTGGTACAGTATAGCACTCTCATTCTGATGACTAAGTGTAAAGCAACACTGACACAACAGCAATATATATAGCCTCACTTGACCCCTGTTGCATTCATCTCCAGCATATTTTGAACCTAAACTCAAGTTTAAGTAGTTGTTCATATGGCATAATTCAATTCAGATTTTCAAAAAAATCTATTTTAAAACATCTGGCCAATACTTTTTCACTCACAATACAGAATGCATTACTGACAACTTGTGCAAACCCTGCTCAACTGTAAAAGTTTTTCTCTCAGCACGAGCTCCATAGCCCTGTCCTCTCAAAGCTCAACAAAAAGAAGCATCGCTAATCAAAGATTAGCCCTTAATGTTAAAGCTCAAAAAGTGAGGGCTTTTAAAACTTGTTAGCCAGCCAAAATGGAACACATAAACTCACCCACATTGGTGAGAGGAATCTTATTGGATAATGGGTGCAGGGTGCGGGTAGGAGAAGGCCACTGAGGGGGGCTATCACTCTCTGTCATGCTGACTATGTTGTGGGAGTGCCGTCTTCCTGGCTTACTTTCTTCACTCTCTGATAGGTTTGAGCCATAGCGTCTGCAAAAGAAAGGTTATTCACTTGAAGATGCAGCATAGTGCATGATTTTAAATAGACAATTTGACAATAAGTGTTTTGACATACTCTAAGCCTTTCTTTGGCAAGGTATTCCGATCTGTTTGTAAGCTGTAAAGAAAAGAATAAAAACACAATTTTCAGAAAACATGGCCTGGGTCTGCCTAAACATACATCCCTTTGGCAGGAAAGTATCTGGACTATCTCCATCTCAATAAGGAGAAATTTTGTGATAGATGCAGCTCCTCATCTTCAAAATGAGACCTTGGACTCTCCTTTCCCAGAAAAAGGCACATATAATATGAGTGAAATGTGTGTCAGCTGCCCAGAAATGTATAGCCAAACCATCACACAGAAACTTCATCTTAGCTGGGCTTCATCCTTAGCTGCTCGTAGGATAAATGCAAAGTCTTGTGATTGTTCTAATGAAAAGACATGTGGACATTTTTATAACTGAATTCTTGTGCAATGAGCATTTCTTGTATTGCCAATTGAATTAGGAATCCCTGAATGATAGCAAAATGAAAAATAAAATAGTTTTTTGGTCCAAGGTTTTGCTTCAAGTTTTTGAGGGTTTGTTTTTTAAACTTTGATGCTTTTTCAAATTAGTTGCAGAAGTATTAAGCATTTTTTTCTCCTCTAAGGAGACAAAACCAATTGTCTGTTCAGAGTTACTCTTTAGCAGAAACTCTCTAACAACATACACTGATGACATTAAAACTGCATAACCCCTTTTTTCCCCCAAACATATCAGTTTTGACACAGTTTACATTACATATTTCAGACACTTGCCTGTCTGAGAGGGTGAGGGACGTCCTACTCCCAGCCCCCCAGGTTCCTGTACTCCTCTCTTCTTTATCACGGGTGTTTGTTGTAACAAACCTTGCACTTGCAGGCACACTCATCTGGAGGGGCAGGGACTCCAAGCTGCGGTGCATGCCTGACAGTTTGGGGTAGAGTATCGGCGATCCACTCAGGCTTTCACTTGCGTAAGGGCTGGGTGAATCAATATGAAGGACTGGCGCTGGGCTAGGGGTTAGGCGGGTGGCCGTGTGGGAACTAGCCAAGTCTTGGAGCTTGGAGTATGGGGGCACTTTGGGTGGAAGGTCCTGTATTGTCACACAGGAGTCAAGACTGTTTGAGTTGACCTTGTCCAGGTGAGCCAAGCTAGGAGGACGACCTAGAGACTTAGTGTTCAGCATCCTAGGATTGAAGCATGAAAGACATGATGATGAAAAAGGAAACTGAACGTTTTAAAACCTGTTAAGTATTGAATGCAGTTTATTTTAAAGCCTTTTGCCCAAATTTTTTTTTTTTTTAAATTCAATTTTGCCTTTTTTTTTTCCTAGCTCTATTCACTCCCCCTTCCATGTGCTTGTCCTGCTAGACCTCAGTGCAGATTTTGATACTACTGACCATAAACATTTTATTACAGCAATTAGAGCATGCTGTAGGTATTAAAGGTAGTGGGATGAAGTGGTTTGAATTGTATCTACCTAACAGACTCCAATTTGTTCATGTAAATAGAGAGTTTTATTCACAAACTAAGGCTAATTATGGACTTAGCATACATTTTCACTACTATGCAGACGACACACAACTTTATCTATCCATGAACCCAGATAACACACACCAATTAGTTAAACTGCAGGAATGTCTTAAAGACATAAATTCAGATAAAACTGAAGTTATTGTACTCGGCCCTAAAAGTCTTAGAAATCTGATTTCTAGCCAGATGCTTACTCTAGATGCCATTACCCTGGCCTCCAGTAACACTGTGAGGAATCTCTGAGTCATTTTTGACCAAGATATGTCCTTCGATGCACATATTAAACTAATATTTAGGACTGTTTTCTTCCACTTGCGTAATATCTCTAATATTAGAAACATTCTTTCACAGAGTGATGCTGAAAAACTAGTTCATGCATTTATTACTTCGAGGCTGGACTACTCCAATTAGTTATTATCAGGATGTTGAAAAAACTCCCTGTAAAGCCTTCAGCAGATCCAAAATGCTGCAGCAAGAGTACTGACAGGGACTAGAAAGAGAGAGCAGATTTCTCCTGTATTGGCTTCCCTTCATTGGCTCCCTGTTAAATCCAGAATTGAATTCAAAATCCTGCTCCTCACATACAAGGTCTTGAATAATCAGCTCCCATCTTATCTTAATGACTTTGTAGTACCATATCACCCTATTAGAGCACTTCACTCTCAGAGTGCGGGCTTACTTGTTCCTAGAGTATTTAAAAGTAGAATGGGAGGCAGAGTATTCAGCCTTCGGGCCCCTCTTCTGTGGAACCAGCTTACAGTTTGGGTTGGCGCGACAGACACCCTTCTCTACTTTTAAGATTAGATTTGAAATTTTGCTTTTTGATAAAGCATATTGTTAGAGCTGGACCAGGTGACACTGAAGCCCCCCTTAGTTACCCTGCAATAGTTGTAGGCTGCTGGGGGATTCCCTTGATGCACTGAGTATTTCTTCTTCAGTCACCTTTTTCGCTCATGTGTTCATACACCTCTCTGCATTGAATTATTCGTTATTATTAATCGTTGGCTCTCTTCTACTGCATGTCTCTGTATGGTTCTGCTGGAGGTTTCTTCCTGTGAAAAGGGAGTTTCACCTTCCACTGTCACCACAGTTCTTGCTCACTGGGTGTTATATGATTGTTGGGGTTTTCTCTGTTTTCTTTGTATTTCTGTAGGGTCTTTACCTTACGGTATAAAGTGCATTGAAGCATCTGTTGTTGCGATTTGCCACTATATAAATAAAACTGAATTGAACTAAAATGAAAATAAAAACCCTCAGAACATCAATAAAATGACAAACCTCGGTATGGTGGGTGATGACAGTTCGGGGTATTTGCTGCTGCTAGTTCGTCTCAGGCCATGCAGTTTCACGGAAGACTCTCCTGTTGATTCGGATGGTGCGTGTTCTCCTTTTAGCGAAGCACAGTCGATGTCTGCAACCACAGCCTTAGCTTTGGCCCTTTCCTTTTCTTTCTCTCGGTCTGTCTGGTTTACTGGGCCAGTACTTGTTCGATTAGTTATTTTAATGCTGGAGCTACTTGGTTCTTTAACCCTGGGGCCTGAAGAAGTTATGGGTACAGGTTTCAAGGACAGCAGACTAGAGTCAATTGTACTGCTGACAGGGCGAGTTGTGGGGCGCCCAATCACACTAAGTGTGCTTGATTTGGCCGGTCGGGGCAGGCTGCGGTACTGAATGCTGTTTCGGGCGTTTGGCCCCAGGAAGCTCTGCTCACTGCTGGCATCAAAACTGTTCTTTCTACCCGAGGGTATTCCTCCTCCTACAGGTTTCACAGGGATGCCAGATGACTTGGGGGTTTTTCCCACAGTAGCAGAGCCACTAGAGATGGTGGCACCCCCTGCTGTCATGACGGTTGCTGTACCAGTTGCTGTTGGTGGTCTCTTGTAGCCAAAGGAGGTTCCAGCAGTGGGTTTAACTAGACCTGAAGGGGGCTTGCGGTGCTCTCCATGATGATCTCTGCCAGCATCTGAACGGGAACGCTGCAGACCAGCAGTTCTGATGGAAATCTTGGATTTGTCCAGTGGCTTCTCACTTTTTGGTGCTAGTTAGACAGACAGAAAGAAAAAACCATATTACATTGACATTAAAAACTTAAATAACTTAAATACTTATAAAAGCAGCAGGAATTTGGGGGAATGTGATTAGTTCTATTTGTCTTTCAGCCACAGTGACCATAGCCTTCCTCTTAATATAATCACACCCTGTCAGAAGAAAGTATTCAAATAAATAAATGGGTGGTTATTTGTTGAGGGATATTTATGGGCTAGCAAACCACATGAGAGTAGAAATGCATGCCATTTTTGCTATTACTGATGAGATAAAACAAAACACATCTGTCTGCACTAAAATAACCTTTATGTGTTCCTTGATGTTTAGAGTGACTCACAAAAAAACTTTTATTTAAAACGACGGAAAGTAAAGTTTTAACAATATTTCAAAGCCTATAGTAGTGAATTAACCAACTAAATTAATTTATTCATTTAAGACAAATGGAAGTAAATCATTTTTAAGAGGGTATATTGGACAAAAAAAAGAGTCAAACCCCGATATTTTTTTCTACTTACTTTTTGTTTTTTTAACTTTAGCTACTTTAGCATTAAAGTAGCTAAAGTTCAGGTTACAGTACATTCATGAAAGCAGATAGAAAAACAGCTAACCTATGGAGTCACTGTCAAATATAGTATACGGTTTAAAATACAACAGCCAAGAGAACTTTTTTCCACCTTCAACCTGCAGCCAAATTACACAGAACTGGATATAATTTTAACGACTTACTATTTTTAAAGCTAAAATTAGGCTGAGGAAATTAAAATGAAAAGCAGGCCAGCCAAATGTTCTTACTGGAACTCAAATCTAAGCTATTATTTAATCATGGCTTGTTTTGTTAGGGATTAGAGGACATTTAAAAAGCTGCTGCAGATGGAAGGCAGTGCCTCTGCAGACATGTAGAGTAACACACTTTGCTTTAAGATAATAGAAGGTCTGGAACTGAAACTGCAATACTTTCTTTATTTAAGTGAAATGAATTTAAACGTATGTATGAATCATAGCCTAGCTTACATTTAGGAGTAAACTTCTGTATTTATTTTGTTACCAAACTCACATCAACTGTTCTATAAACTGCTATGGACTGCTGGACTCCACATAAAAGTGAGATAATAGACTGTATAAGTGTTAAAGCTATAAACATTTAAGAACATTGGCCACACACCAAGTTACTACATGAGACGAGCAGAAGAAATAATGGTTAGGGATAAAATACACGCGGATGCAAGGTAAAAAAAAAAAAGTTTTTAAAAAGAAAATGTCACCTGCGACTTTGAGCATACTCTGGGAGGTATGGGTGATGGGGGAGGTCACACCCACAGGAGGATTTCTGCTTTTCTTGAAACTTCCTGGTTGACCCAAACTTTGAGGCTTCTTCAGTTCCCCTTTACCGCCAAAATCTTCACTAAGACTTGGAGGCTTCTTTCTCCACTTGCTTGGTGCCTCTGTCTTGAGACTTCCTGAGTCAAAGCTGGAGCTACCAAGCTTATGGGTGCTTTTGCCATCCTCACTGTACCAAGAAAGTCCACTTTCCACCAGAGAGCGCTTCTCTGCATCAGTGCGGAGCTGTAGAGAGAGGAAGGACACAATGTGGGCAACCATCAGACATGGTTTGTGTTATCTATGGAATTGACTGTTCTCTGTAATCTTTATCCCATCTGAGCTGCATTCCAGTGGGAAGGAGGGAGAGATAAACTGATACGTCCCAAGGGGATTAAAAAAAACCCCCAAAAAACCCACAGAGACAAAAGAAAGGAGAACAAAAACATGTCCAAGGATTTAACACTTTAAGAGTTAGATCAACACATTAAATAGTAAAAAAAGAAAATATTACAGCAGAGGACAGCTAGAGCATTATTTTTGTAATTTAGGGCTATATAGTAGATAAAAAACTGCTACACAACAATAGAAAAATCATGTGGTGCACCAAGGAGGTAGCACGGAGGGCAAAATTGGGCATGCTGTTTTTTGGCACCATATTATCCTGTTATAGAGCGACAGATGGCACATTGAGTAGCTCTAGTGTTTATTTCTTCCAAGAGACCAATTTCTAAGTAAGTAAAAGCACAACATTTACCTATGAAAAAGGTAGAATGTGCGGCCACTTAACCAAATCAAATTTGATGCTCATTTCTTTTCAAATTTAACAGAACATCCTTTAGGAATGGAATACTTACATGGCACCTAATAGGTTTTTCTTCAAATACATCAATAAAAGAGCTGATAAAAATTTCATAACTTAATATTTTGCATTCATTTTGCACAGTGTTATGTGGAGAGACAACTATCTCCCAGGCCTTCAGATATGAAGGCAAGTATACAAGTAAATAAGCAGTCCTGGACTAACTACAGGTTGCTCTTTGGCAGGGCATAGGATCAACACAGCCGCCTTCCTTTGGGAAAAGCATTATAAGTAAAGCCTTGGGAAGCAGTAAGGTGGAAGTGCAGTAATAGTGGAAGAACTGGAATTCCGTCGATGGTGACAGTCACAATTACACTAGGTACTCAAATTCTGGTTCTTCAGCCAGGGTCACCTAATTCAGCTAGTGAACTTCTGCTGTGTGATAGATGCAGGGAATCCTTAACTAGACGCATTTGAAAACTCTAGCAACTCTGCAAGATGATGATGATGATGATTGCACAGTGAAGCCCCAAAATATTCATGAGTGGAGGAACGCTCACGCCACATGCATTTTTTCTGACTAGCAGGAGAGAGCTGTGTGTACCGTGACAAGGTAAGCTCTGTAGTGGCTTTTGTGGCCTCTGCCAAAGCAAAGGATTGCCTTTAACACACAACAAACTAAATCACATGGTGTGGCTTTGGAAATGGTTTCAGTAAAGAACTAAGCTGCAATCTTTAGCAATCTTTTGCTACAAACAAAATAAGCTGTGGGAAAGAACACATGCCACATGCTGTATTACAGGCCGGTACAGTATTTCACTAACCATAACAGAGGAGTTGCGCCTTGATCCCAAGGGTGTGTTTGGGAGGGAGTTGAGAGACGAGCTGGCGTTGAATTCCTCTGAACTGAGATTCTCCGAGCCATCGCCATCACCATCGCTGAGTCCACTGCTAATGGAGCTGCTCTCGTCCCAACTGAAACCAGACAGAGTAACCACTTAGCAAAAATGTGCCACTGAAAGTGTGAATGTAAAGCACGAAAAGCTGCAGAACTCTGTGTTTGAGGAGAAGATAAGTCTTGCAGCAACATTAATTTGTCCATCTGGCTTCAGCAGGCTGTCTCTGGAGGAGGCCACATGCTTAAACAAACAGGTAATTCCAACTTGGCTATTTTGCTTTGACTTAACAAACACATCAGAGCTCAAGACCATATGGTGAACAACTCGTCAGGCGTATATCCAGAAGATTTCTTTAATTTATGCTATACATACATCAACACTGTCTTTAGGAACTTCAAAAATAAGATTTAAAGCCATACCTACATTTTAAGTCCCATATATTTTAATAAAAGTGCAAATTACAATTTATTCATTTTAACAAATCCAGAATCTGTGGCAGTTCAAATTTATCAAACGAGCGGTGTATCATAACACTGTGTTTTACCACAAAGTGCCAAATTATAAGACGAGACGTCATCAAATAGTTGCTTCCCTGGGTTTCTTGACTTCATAAAATTTATGCCCGTTTGAAACTTTCATCAATCCACAAACCCCACCATTCACAATCTTCACAGCAGCTAATAAACCTTTTTAAACACACTGCACCACAACTCATGTGGGGAAACTCCAGTCTAGCAATCATAATAAAATGGTCAGCTTGGGCAGTAAATTTTAAGTCAGAAAAATGTAAGCTTTACCATATTTTAATAAATCGTAATGACAGCACAGCTAGGACAGCACTCTTTGTAGTTTTTCAGCACAGCTTCAAGACATGCTGATGAATCGTGGTAAATAAAAAGTACTGCGACTGACAGTTCAGTGTTTAGAAAACAGTCTGTTATGCTCAAAAGAAGCAGGATGACAGAAATCAGAGTGACAGGCTCCTGAACCTTGCATGACCCTTCCCAACAGCCTTCAATGAAGTCCTGTCTCGCCTTGAAACAGATGCTGCCACATTGGCCCTTCTCCTGAGGCCAGAAGGGACGGGCAGTCCCTGCACACCCCAGAGAAACTGGTCACTGGGCATCAGGTCTCTGGGTGCATTCATATTTGAAAATCCAGTTCAAGAAAAAGCTTCTCAGTCAACCAAAACATCACAGGATAAAACAGTTCAATCTGAGTGGGAAGTTTAAAAGAAGTGCTTTAGAAGTGCAATGATGCCATGGTGAACTTAAAAATGGTATCTCCAGAGAGCTAAATGCAAGTCCAGCTCATATTTGGTATAATTATGTTCCCCATCATTACTACTGGCAGCCACAGGTGGTAATCAAATTTGTGTTGGCGCTCAAAAATGTTGCACAGTGGAAAAGGTAAATTAATATGCCTCTTAAAAGCAGAGTAACTGTTTGAGCTGAATCAGTTCTTTTCCCTTTCTTTGGTTTCCCTACTGAGCTCAAAATGCTCTTTGTGGGTCTGCAGTCTGCAATTAGCAGAGCCATGGAACATGGAATTGCACAGGAAAATAGAGGGAGACAAAAATGGCTTATACACACATTCAGAATGGATTTAAACACATGGCATGAGTTGAGTTATAGATACAGCTGTAAAACAGGGAAGAAGCTTTTCTTGACACTGTATGCTGGTTTTAAGGCTTTTTGATGTATAAAAGCAGCGTTTTAGTAAAGTGATTTGTGGCCACAGATATGTGACCTCTTGACAACAAGAGTGTAACATAAAATAAATGTTGGATTTTAGAAAAAGTTCTTACATACCAGTAAGAATAACAGTGAGAAAAGTTTCATGATTTACATTAGGCACAGATGTTAGTGGTATGTTTGAACAATACCTCCTCTGTCAGGGGCGACAGAGGGGCCATGAATAACCCCACAGGGATGTCAGCCTAGGAAGAGGCAGGAGGGCCTGTGGGCTGTTGATATTACAAGCCAAGCTGTCTGCTCTCAGAGGTAAAATCCAGACAGGGAGAGGGTGGGAGTAGGCTAGGGTAGTGCATACTTCATACATTGGGTGGCAATTAACATTTTGTTTTCTCTGGCACAACTCCTACGCATATCTGATTTGAGCCCATTTGTGATTTGTGAGCTGCAATAGTGTGAATATTTCTTCTGTTTTAATAAGATTGAGAGGTGGTTGGTGGGGCAGAGCACAGTGTGGACATTAGTCACTGTCTGGAGCTGGAAGTAGATTTAACAACCTATGGTGGATTGAATGAACAAGAAAAACAAAAAATACATAATTTTTTTAGGATTAAAAAGCTATCCAGGCTTCTCAGGGACCGTCCTTTGATAATATTGTAAATATAATATCAGATTAAATAGCACACGGGAGGGAGGAAGCATCTTGTAGGTCAATTTGGCAATGTGTCTGCAAAGTTTCGGCTTAAAAAAAGAATAATGATGTGGCTCCTGGGAGCGCATGACTGTAGCTGAATGAGTGGTGAAGACATCCTTCATTATACAGATAGCTGTGGTAGCAGCGCTCCCGTGTCCTCCAAGAATAAAACTGTTTTTCCACAGATGCTATAACTTCAACTGCAAAAACAATGTCTGATCGTGACATTTAACTTCATGGCGCAAAATGTTACAGGTGAACGGCAAAAGTCAAATAATTAAAAATAATATATTAATTAGATTTCATCGATTACACTGTTATGCTATCACACTGATGCTCGAAAATAAAGTCATGTTTAGAAGAATTTAAATCCATTGAAGAGCTTCATTTCTTCGCGAAGAAACAGAATATTAGCGTCGGGGGCAAATAAAGGCAGATAATGTGCCAACGGCGATTAAATATTAATGATACATTACCTTGGAGTTAAAAGGAAAGTCCTCCTTGCTCGTGTCGCCGGCTGCAGCGGTGGCACTTTACCGACCAAAACACGCCCGCTCATTTGTGACTTGTACGGCTTTAGAGTGAGCGCAGAGTCACTCCGCAAGCAAAGACCCCTGTTCCCTCATTCAGCGAGAGGAAAAGTAGTGTGTCTCTCAGCATTCAAGCAACACCCCCTCCCATAAAGGCAAAAAAAAAAAAGAAAACGATCGAGGAGATCATAGAGACCCCGATAGCTGCTCAGTCCTCAGCGAGACAACGACCAATTGCCGTGGAGCGGAGTGGTAGTCATGGCAACTCCAATTACTCCCTGTGGTGTAATCCTTTACTTCGCCCCATGTAATCCGAATACTTTGATTTATGTTTCTGCTTCACCTGAAGCGCTAATTACCATAAAAAAGATTATCCCAATGAGCCTAAGTACCGTTATCATTTTTTTCTTCTAAAATATGAATTTTAGTTTTCATGTCTATAATAAAGAACATCTTAAAAGTCAGGTATGCATAGCAAAACCTGAGAGGGTTTATAGAAGATGGAAACAGCTGCAAGGTCTGAAGAGTGGAGCCCAGTTCACGATTGCTTTGAACTTTAATAACCAGCAGGGGCGACGCTTCTGGTTGTAAAAAATCAGATTTTACAAGTCTGTGGGAAAACCACCACCAATGTCCATTGACCTATGGCCTCTCTAAACCCTTCACTGATGTGCAGATGAGTTTATGTTAGTTTCAAACATAATGAATATATCAATATGTTCATTTTGTTAGTTAGGATCCCCATTAGAGTCATAAAGGCAGATAATGCAGGCTATACTTAAGCAGAGCCTACTGTGAGCATTTTTGTTTGTTTGGTTGTTTGGTTTTGTTTTTTAATAAACACAGGATGGATGCACGGGTTCTTTTTAAAAACAGTTTTCACTTTGTTGTATCATTATCAGAAGCAGCGAATGTGTTAATAATAGCAATAATAATAATAGCAATATTGATTTTCACCAATTGTACAACAACTAAATACCAGACTCAAAACATTTCTTGTCTCTTGCATAAGCCAAAAAAGTATGTTTTTTTAAAATAAATACATTAAATATGCACGAATCCCAACTGCATAGAGTAATAAATGATTCACCTTTTTTGCATTCCATTGTGCTCCCCCCCCCTTCCAAATGCAGTAAAATGAATAGACACCAACTATAATTGGCAGTAAGGCTGAGAGCAGACTTTCTTAATCCTCTGATGGATGCCATGAACCTTACCCATTATGGCAGCATAAACAATATCGCGTAGCATTAATACTAATGAGCTTAGCTACATATTATAGATACACTGCCACTAGGCCTACAACAAGAAGGGAGATTTGAGAGGTTGCTTTTAGCAACATGGGGTGCTGTAAATAATGCAATAGTGTAAGCTCCTTGTATAATTTTGATTGATTGCGTCGAAAAAAAAATTGGTTTAATGTACAAGGACGTGTTCCAATGGAAATTTTCCACTTTAGTCATGAGATCAGGGTGATCTTGATGTATATTAAGTGTGTCTTGGTGTAAATTTGTTTTGGAGTCCCTCTTTTCTCTAGTATCCAACAACTGCTGAATGGTGCTTATTGTTCATATAAAACTTCAGAATCACTCATATCCACTGACTTCAGTGCTAACAAAGTCAATCGTAGAGCTGAAATAAATCTTTTAAACATGCTTACAAAAGGACTAAGAATTTAAAAAGACTATGCAAACAGATATTTCTATACTTTGACTTCTTTTTACATTAAGGAGAAGATTATCATGATGAATTTCCTTAAAGATGTTTAACTTCTAAGGCCTAGTTGGAAAAAAGTCATTCCAAGGTAAGGCTTGAATCACTGTGAGTGCAACCGCAAGCCCACAATGACACAAGGACCTCCACTGAGGCATGGGTAGCCTTGAAAAGCCTCCCTCCCCCTTTCATTGGCAGAGGTGATGATCTCACCAGATCTCAGCTCTGTAAACCTCTCCAGGAGGTAACAGCTCTATGGACCAAGAAAGCCCCACACACCCTGTCCACATCATCAGTTACAAATCAGTTCAGTGTGTGCCTAACAAAAATCATTTACTTTTGAAATGCAGTAGCAATACACTTTATATGCAACATGGCAATAAATCATTGCTAATTTCAAAAAGTGGAAAAAACAAATATACAGGACATGCAGGAAAAAAAAGAAGATTTTCCACATTGGGGAATATTTCAGAGCCAGCTTGAATGGGATTTTAAATGACAGTGGGGTTTTTTGTGAAAAATAAACAGCTATACTGATGTCAGCCTGACTCCCAGACATAAAGGCATCCCTTAAAATATCTTTAGCAGAATGAGATTCAAACCTGATAAAATCTTGTCTTGTCTGTCTCCTTCTTTTCATATCCGTGACTCTATCTACTGAAAAGAAGCTTTTCAGTAGATAGAGAAGCTTCTCAGACTGTGGCCCTTTGCGTTTTGCTTACAAACAACATGAAACATTTTGTTTAAATACCTGTTGGTTACTTCTAAACTTTCCTTTCAAATAGCTAAACACTGATGATTATTTTGTTGCTTAAAATAGTGAAATGATCTGAACTGTTTACGGTGCAAGAAAGACGTGTGTTACTCACATCTCCTGTTTATCTCAGCCAGGCCACAGTGGTAATAAACAAGATGACATCCAAAAAGCCTTGAAGTCATGTTTGTGCTGTAGAGTAACAGCTGTCCGACACTGATAACCACATGGCATGTGTAAGAAACATCCTTTGTACATTTGCTTACATGGAAAGTTATTGAGTAATTTAAGTATTTACAGACTCATAAAGTGCAGATTAAACCCATCTGAGAGAAACGCAGCACCTTGTTTTTTTACTGAGGCAGAAAACCATTTTCAGGATTCGACCTCTACTGTTGTGATATTTGATCTAAATCATTTGTTCCATATTTCTCTGGTGCAGTAAAGTGTGTTGCATTGTGCAAGACTAAAAACTGATGAGAAATGAACAGGTTCTATCTCTGTCAGTGGCGAGAGGTCTCATCAGTTTGAATTCATCAGTAAAGACTGGCATCCAAATTAGTAGCAAACTGAATAATGTGGATGTCATAATAAGAGTTCATGTAAGTATTTTCCGCCTGAGGGAAAAGAATATGTAATAAAGCGGCATAAAGTATGCGAACAGGTAAACAACTGACAATTTAAATCTATAACAGATCCAAAGTCTTTTCGAAGGGTTCTCCTTCTCAACTAGTTTGGTCCCATTCAGTCAAAACAACATTACTAATGCCAAAGTTTGTTTGCTCTTGGCCACAAAGCCATTTCGAAGTCAGCATTATGGTAGCTTTTCATTATAAGTCTGCACTGTATCCAAGTAGGTGAACTCAGTAATGGTCAAAGAGACTGATAGAAATAGAGCTGGATGAAAGCTGTGAGTCCAGCAATGTGGTGCAATGACATTTGATTTCCAGCAGGAGGCACAATGATTTCAAGCTGTGCCTGCTATGGCTACAGTTTAATGTACATGCTCTGCAGCTGTGTTTTAAAATGAGGCACCACTTGGCATTTAGAAAAAAGCAGGACTTTGATTTTGAGACCTTTGATGGCGAGAAAGAGCCGACATTCCTCTGTTGTGTGCGTTCAGCTCAGAAGTACAATGTGGGAAACTGCTTTAGAAAGACAGCTCTGTGTTCAGTGATTTATGTCTGCTTAAATATCATTCATTCAGAGAGACTGCAGATGAAAAAGCTATGCATCTCTGATCTTCACAGCCCCCAATTCTGATCTGTATTGAGGTTGACCATAACTACGCAAATAGGACTGGGCAGCCTTCGGCACAGAGCAGTGGCACATCAGTAAAGCAAATGGGCCTGGGATGCATCACTGACCGTCTCAGAGACTGCAGCTGACCCATCTCTTCAGATCCCCAGAAAATGTATTTGTCGTCGGATTATTGGACTGGAAAATTAATGTACCATTTCCATCGACCTCATAGGAGACTTCCACCTCAAAGACACGGCAAACAATATAGACGCCACACCTAATTCTGAGGCTTTCAGTCCTCTTGGTGCCACATTTACAGCCTGATAGTGTGGAAATCTGTGCTGTGCTGGTATTATGACATTGTATTGTTTCATTGTGTTGTCCTGCACTCTGTTTTTAGTTTCTTATTAATATGGCACTTAACTCTGATCTTGAACTGCTTACTGTCTGAGTAATGCAACTTGTGTACCAGGAGAGTTGAAGCAGAACCAAATCCAATATAAAGCAAATACATTTTAAATTAAAATGACTTCAACAGTCATATTCAAAAGCGGATAATCTGACAACTCCCACTCTGAAAAAATATATATAGTGGGGAATCACAGATTAACAAATGCCATAAGATTCCCGTTTTTAAACATACCGTTGTGGGGGGAAAAACGTTGATGTATCACATTTTCCACTTGGGGCTAAGTTTAAACACCGTCTGAATCCAAACTGTGCACCCAGACGACCACACGCAGACATGATACACGGATGAGTCATCGTCCCCGGGTGTTGCAATAATCGTCCATTATTCACATGGCTGAGGACGATGGTGAAGGTGGAAGTACACTGGTGTTGGGGGAGTCAGTATGTTAGTGACCAAACGAGCTCCATATTGACCCCAGATGCGTTCGAGCTGCTGACTTTGGAAGAATGAGTGCACTATTTATCTGTCCTACTCATCAGTAACACAAAGGACAGTATAATGGAGATTGCTTTTTTTCCATTATTGCCTCCCTGTTAACCATTTTGAAACAAATTCAAATTAACTTAGCTTAAAAATGTGTGTAGTAGACAGAATCAAGAAAATCAAATCCCTTTTTATTGAGCTCTAGCCCATAAATGACAAACTCCAAGTGCTAGCTCACTAAACTGTAATACCAGCAATGCCTGTGGGGAACCAGAATAGAAAAGCCAAAGACCAACTCTTGAGCAAATGTGTTTAAGTGGGTTTTAAAAAACGTGTTAGGCCTCAACTGTCGAGGAAGCACTTGGTGACAATAGAAAGGTCCAGCCCAGTCGGGAAAGGGAAATTGAATGCAGACTAGCATGGGCATCTATCCAGGATCAGAGGACTGCAGCAAACCCTGTGCGCATTAGAGAATGTACTTGCCGACACACATAGTTTCCATAAAGCTGTGAAATGGTTTAAAAATTAGAAAACTGCACTCACTTTCACACACGCCAAGCCTTTAACCATGGAAATGGTGTTTTTATCCCACAATATGTAGCAAGGCAAAGATAGCAATGACATATATTCAGTATTTAAAAGGGCCCAAAGGTCCAAAAGAGGGGGGGGAAGCTAAAATTATTGTTCCCCACATTTATTTTCATAGTAAATCACGGTTATCATCCAATAATGCAAACAGAAATACAAACAATGCCCTTTCATACAAGCACCTGTCCCCCAAAAACGCCAGATATAAAACAATCTGGTGGTTATCATGCTGTCTTTACATCAGCTTCTCGTTGTCTATCGATTATTCTCTCATTTTTTCTTCGCATATTTCGTTCACCCTTTCTCGCCATATCTCAAACAAACCAGCACAGAATGCACATACACATCCTCCACACATACATCAAATCAGCAGCTATCACACTGACACACAAGGCAGTCCCATCACTGGGTCAGTGGAAGACGGTTGCCATGGCAGCACATCCAGAGCCATGTTGCCGCATGATCAGAAGGGTGATGCTGCTGAACCAGCCCCCTTTCTCTGCTCTGCTCTGCTCCAGCAGCAATAAAGAAAGACATTATCACAGGACAACGGAAAGAGATAAACTATTATGTTACTCTTGTTTTCAGGACGCCGTATATGAAGCAACTCTAATGATATTGTGTTATTTATGAGGTTACAACATTCGATAGATTTGCCCATTTGCTAATAAAACCATTTATGTACTATTTATTCAAGTCTTATGATAATGTTAACAGCAATGGCTTAAAGCAGGGAAAATAAATTAATCACAGAAATAACAGTGTCCTGAGTCTGTTACAGCTTTAAAGCATTGAATACTCAAGAGCTTACTGCTTTGGTTTAGTAACTGCTTTAAGTGAAAAGGCTTTGATAAACTAACTGTACATGCCCAGCATCAAGCAGCAGACAGATCAAAATGAATCTGGTTGACTGAGTTATGATTCCAAATGATGGCTGTGTCTGCTGGATGATGTATTTGCCGCATTGCATTTGATGTATTGATTTTATTTTAATGTGTTTACAGCCTCCTTATCTATTCCTGGAAAAAACAAAGCTAATATAGAAAACTGTATGTGTAAGAGCAACAAATAACGACTGGCACTTAATTTTTTTTTTTTTCAAAAGTTCAAAATGAGTCTCCTGTTATGTTATGGTTATGTTTTATTAGAGGTGAGGTAACTCACATTTTCTATTTCTTATATTAAGAGACTGAGGAAAGGCATAAAAAGCTTTCCTTGTCAAGAAAAAAAAAAAGACAGAAAAAAGAAAACTGACCTCAGATTCTTGTGGTTATCAGTAGCTCATTATTGAATTTAAGTGCCCTTTGCTCTACTGTAAGAAAAAAAATAATTTGAAAGCAGTCGAAAGGTTAAAACCTATTTGCTTTTCTCCTCTCTCCTCCTTTTCTTCTGACAAAATACAAAAATGAGGCTTTATTTATCCCATTACGTAATTTCTTTAATGAGCATCTGTATTCGACATGAAAAGCTTGCTTACATGAATGCTTACATACACTACAGCTGAATGTCTGTAAAACATCAACCATAACTAACTCAACACCACTAAAAATCACACTGAATGCTGAACAGGAGTCATAATGTAAATACCAGATACGGAAACAACCGCCATCAATATAATGTGATTACTGGTCCACTCATAAACCAGCCTCTCAAAATATGGCTTTTAACGGGATGATAGCATATAAGTGATGGTTAAAAACTGGCAATATGGTGTGAAGAAGGCAGCCGCAGGAAACATTTATGATTCCTGACGTGGTCAAGCCTAAATAAGAAGCCAGCTCAACACACTAATGTAAGCTGAAACACAGCAACTCACTTCCTGAGTAGTGCTAGTGAAATGAGAAAAACTCTTGTTAGCTTCACTGCCAGCCAACATTTTAAGCAGACATGGAGTCTACTGAGGACAAAATGGAAAATGATGTACAATTTTGTTATTACACTGTATGTAATTATGGCAATTTTAGTTGTAACTGAATGTAAACATCCTTTTAGGAGAGAGCAGTCAAGAAGAAAACTTGCAGAAATGGGAAATGGACTGGTACTTCTTTACCTCTACTAAATTTTGAGCACTCAAAAGTCTCATTTGCGCAATCACACACACATTCATACAGTGCTTTTATCTATACCTAATGGAGAAGAGGAGGTGAAGACAAGATCTAAGTGCTTTCAGGATTGCCATCTTGGTGTTCTGAAACCAGATGCGTCGAGTGAGGGTGGATTTGGCTAAGAAACACAGAGAGCATGCGTGTCCATATGGTAGTAACTTCAAAATCACAAGGTAGGGCCTCTTTAAAGCTCAGCCTGCTTGATCATTCTTTTTGACCGCAATTTATAAAATTACCTCATGTTTTAAACAGCACCTGAAACTATTAACTGAGATGACAAAGCAAGGAAGCTGAGGATGATTAGAAGATATGCTTCACTTTTCCAGGATACTCTGAGTGTCTCTTCTTCACTCACATTTTTTCAAGTGTTTATACACCATTCTGCATTTAATTATTAGTTATTATTAGTTTCTTGCTCTCTTCTTCTACTGTCTTTTCTTCCTGTCTTCATGGCAGGTGGGTGCCCCTCCCTGAGCATGGTTTTGCTGGAGGTTTCTTCCTGTTAAAAGGGAGTTTTTCTTTCCCACTGTCACCAACTGCTAGGGAGTCATCTGACTGTATTTTCCTCTGTATTCGTTTAGGGTCTTTAAGTTACAGTAAAAAGAACTTTGAGGTGAATGTTGTTGCAATTTGGTGTTATTTAAATTAATTAAATTGAAGTAAACTGGATTGCTGAGCTAGAGATGCTAGACTTCATTGTTCCTATAGGGCTCAGAAATCCAATAATGCCATTCCATCTCCTTTGTATTAGTGATTTGACAAAAAACGATGGATTAGATCACAGCAAAGTCTGCCAGATTGTCTTTGTTCCACAGAGTGTACAATATCAGTGTACAAACATTGATTATGAAGTGTTAAGTCATTAATATTTCATTAACTGTAGGTGTACACTGCACTGTTGGATGGCTTAAGATTAGAATGGTGACAAATAGAAGCAGCAGAACTGTACCTGTATATCCCCAGATCGTCTTGTTTGTCTTTAGAGAGGGTATGTATCCTTTCTTTGTAATTAAATTAGGACAAACCAGCTTATGATTAGGTTACAGGTTGCAGCTTTCTCTCAGACTTCTCCTGTCTGAAGAAGGCTGGAGCTGATGAGGAGACTGACTTATGTATCAGGTTATTGATGATGAAGACACACCGTAGCAGTGATAACGGTCTTTGTGAACATCTTATGTAAGCAGTGCTCCCTGGTGTCGATTAATCAATATCCATTACGCCTTGACCAATGTGCTGCAGTACCATTAGACTAGTTAGTCTTAACAACATGCCTTTTGTTTTATAATTTTTACAGTTGACTCAGTTTTCCATTTCTAGCCCACTTCTCTTGAGCCTTCAGGATTTTCTTTACATGATCTAAGTATTACATACTGCATTAGTGATTTGACATTCTCAATGTGCCATTCATATCTAGCTGATTATATGGGTGCTCATTTCAGATCAATACGTTTTATGAAAATGTAAAACTGGGGCCTTACTGAAAGGGGAGCAGAAATGGCACCTCTCCTTACAGTCGATTTTCAGTGGGTTTCCATGGTTACGCGGGAGGAGCCTGATCTATTTTCAAGAGCTGGTAGCTTCTCAATGAGCTGAACTGTAAGTGTGTGACAGGGGATGTGGAGTAAATGCAAATGCATCACAGAGAATACTGTAAAAAAATTAATTAATAAATTAGAGCATGTGCTGCAGCGCCTGCTTCAGAAACTGGATTAGCTTGTTATCTACACCAAAGGGTGTTGGTATGTTTATGTGGCACAATTCATTCTTGATATAGAGCACTAGCACCCTATTATTTCTGCAGTCACGTCCAAGCCAACAAACCAGAAGGATTTCAACCTTCCAACTACAGTATAAACACGAAAGTTAGTCACGTTAGAGAGAAAACAGCGCAAAATATTTCTGTTTCCTGGTATGTTTTGTAGACTGAGTGACCTGTTATTACGCATAACAGGAGGCATATCCATAGCATGCTTTGGGTATAAATGGTAAAAATGCTCTATGGGGACCCGTTTTTCCCATCAAGAGTTCTTCCAGTCACCTTGAAAGCATGTCTAGGGATTGCTGACTTTGGTGGCCTAAAACAGAGAGCATGATGAGGCATTCTAAAACTAGTGTTACATAAAATGATTAGCATCTTTGCTGCCTGCGGTGTCAAAAAGCAGAGGTGACACTCTCCGCTCACCTCTCTAATGAATTTGAAACACCCCAGCAGAGCTACTGCAGCGAGAAACAAGGAGAAATACAGGGCAGATTTAAATGGACTTTTTAGTGCATGGACGTTACTGTGAGGAATGAACCCATTTGACATAATCCCCGTTTAATCCTGGCCTTATCAGCTTTATGCTGTTTGATCATTTTTCACCTCTCTCCTTCAAATTAACCATCTATCTTTACTTGTGAAGCCAGTTCTCCATGTTAATTTCATTTAGCCCTGTTCTAGTTTGCATTTTCTTCTTCTATGCTCCAATTTCTACTCATCTAAACTGTGCCTCACTTCCTCTCGTCTCCTTAGTGCACATAGTAAGAACGTGACCTGGCATGCAGGGCCTTTGGAGTGCTCCAGAGAGCTTAAGTCCCACTGCATGTGCAACCGTGATAAAGCTGCTACACTGGAGAAGTGTCCTGGATTCTTCCCCTCTCTCTCACGCTCACTGTCAGCTGTCAAGTTGTGAGTGGGAATTAGATAAAGAATGTGAGATGAGGGAATCATGGAAGATGGAAAGTGAGTGAGAAGATAAGCGAAAAAACTGCACAGGTGCAGCTTTCTACATATGTCATCGAAGCTATTTAGTGCACTTGTTTATACTGTGTCTCTTTTCAAGATTCCAACACCCCAGAAATGAGGGAGTGTTTACTTTGTGACTGAGAAAGCCCCAGATAACTTCTCTCCTCAGTGAAAAAGTTAAAAGAAGCTTTCCACACGGTCAGCAAAAACAGGCTCAGACAATGTCTCGGGCAGTTTGAGAAGTCCTTAAAGTGCAAGAAAATACCAAACACGTCTATAGAGATTGCTGATGAAAGCTCTCTGATAAGCCTGCCAAGCAACATCAGGCTCCAGCAACAAAGAGAAATTCATGATGTCGACGTGAAAAGTTTCCTTCATGAAGGTTTTTTTTTTTGACCAGCAAAATATGCACACATTTGCAAATGAGGACGGATAGTATCAGGTAATGTCCAGCATTTCAAGAAGAGTGCCTACTTATTAAAATGCAGCTGAGCTTCTCATTGACCTTCCTCAAGTCAAAAGATGGAGGACAAACCAGTATGCACCATCTGCAGCAAACTATTGCTTCATGTTCTCATTTTTTAAGTGCTCTTACCCGTTAGCCAGGTTGTCATCATCATCATCTGGCAGGCTCTTCCCTAGAAGGTCAGTGTCACTCAGGTAACCAGACTTGAGATCGGGATCATCAACATCAAGGCTTTCTATGAGCTCAATACGAGACGTGCTGCTGAGTCGACTGGAGCAGCGAGCAGGCATTGTATGGGCTGTGTACTGGGAACCACTCTTACTTCCCTGGTATCCGCCACCTGTGGAGGATGGGGCATCGCCAGCTTGAAGACGAGGGCTGGCCTGGCCGTGGCGCCAGGAAAGAGGTGATGAGCGGTTGGATAGGCTGGATATGCTGCGAGCATTGGTTTCATCGCTGTCATAGCCCACATTACTGCTGTCCAGACAGCTAGAGGGACACACAGGGAGAGGGTCAGGGTGGTTTACAAACATGTTCAAAGCAATTGGTTAACAGTCTTGTCCCGAAAGAAACATAAAAGAAAGACTCCAGATGTGCACAGCACACCCAGAAAACTTCTCTCTTTTTTCTTCTGAGTTTCTCTTCAAAGAAACCAACAGTGGCATTCAGTCGCTCTTGACCTAGATACACCAGTTGTGTTGTATCAAGTTCAGGGAGTAAAACTAGAAAAGATGCTGCTTAGGAGAAGACTAAAAGACAGATAAATTGCTATCTCTGTGTTGCATTGCATATAGCATTTCTCTCTCTTCTCTCTGTTTCTTCAATATACTGCTTTTGTGTACCAGGAAGTATTCCAGGATAGCAAGGACTCTGCTTTTCAGGACCACACACAGGAAATATTAATAAAAATTTTCTCTGTTGTAAGTGGGTCAGAATTAGAAACGTCCTCCAAATGGCTAGGAGCGTCTACTGTGTCTGTCGATTACATAACGAGATGAACCGAGTCACCCAAATAAATATTGCAGTGCCCACGACCATGCAAGTATTTTTATCCATTCTTCGTGGATAATTCATCAACCTGAAGGCTGAGAATTTCTGCATTTGTCAGTGACTTTAAAATACTATGATGATGAAAATTACAGGACGGTCCTGCAAGCAGCCATTAAGTCTCAGGTCAGTCATTGATTAACTGAAGCCCTTTTGATAGCTGCCTAAGAAAAATTTAGCGTGCAATCGCACAAGTGATTATTTACTATAATCACAACTCTTTGTTAAACAATATGTTTCAAAGAGGTTGAGCAGAGTAATTACATTAAAACTAAAAAGCTTTAAAGCAGCACTTCTCAACTTTCTGGTATAATAACAGCCATCACTAAACAAGATTAGGTTTATGAGCCAAACAGCCTCTTTAAACATCTAAGACAAAATAGTATCGCCCTGTGATAGTTGGGATAGACTCTGGATGGATAGAACTGAAAACATTAGTGCTAAACTTTTCCATATCTGTTAGTCTCTAACTCCGTCAATTATTTTGCAGGTAGTTTATAATCAGTGCCATGATGCACATGTGGGTGTTTAGAACTAAATCTTTGTTATAGATAAGACATAAAACATTACTTATCCAAGAGAGTTTTAAAATATAGAGGCAATGGGTTTGGTGTTAAAATTATGTAAGAAGAAGGAAGGTAAGAAAATAGGGAAGGGCTGCAGCATTTTTTTAAACATGTGGAAACATAAATGGAAATGCAGCACATAAGGCAAAAACAGATTGTACAGGTCAATAATGCTGAGGTCTGGACTCTGGGGAGGCTAGTTCATGACTGTATCTTTCTGTTTAGTTATGCTTTTATTTTTTTGGCAGTGTGTTTAGGATCACTGACATGTTGAAAAATGAAGCAATTTCTAATCAGATGCTTTCCAGATGATATTGGATCAAAATCTGGTATTTTATAAGACCAACACCTTTGGGTGAAATGCAGCACTAAACCATGACACAAATGCAATTATCTGTACAGTTATCTGTAGACACTGACTGTTTTATTTCTCCCCTTACCTCCTCCGTACATACTGACAATGATTTGAACTAAAAATCTCCCATTTGTTTTCATCACTCAATGTGACCTGTTGCCACTGATTTTCAGTCTAGTATTTGTGTAATTTGTTATCCCTCAGCCCTTTCTCATCGTTTCCCTTGCTGAAAAATAACTTGAGAAGATTTTTGGTAACACTTTAGCAAACACTCGCTGGATCAACTGAAGGTCAGTCTAATCTCTCTAAGTCTTATCTCAGGTTTTTTTTTTTTTGTTTCTCTGCTGTAGATAGTTTTTTAGGCCTGCCACTTCTTCTTTTGTCCTCAAAACTGCACACCATGCAGATATATGCCACCAAGGATAACCTTCTTGGTGCAATAAACCAATTTTCTGTTATCTTGTTACCAAGTGGCAACACTGTAAGCAGCCACAATACAACTGCTTACACATGATTATGTTATGTATCAATCCAGCAGGGTCTAAGTGTGTTTTTTTCACTTTAAACTGACTTTAATAAATGGATTTATCTCATAATTTTATCAATACATGTATATATATACACTTTACTTACCTATGGCTCATCTGGGAGCCCCGCAGACTTGTCATTGTATCTTCTAAATTCTGGCGTAGGTCAAGGACATTCTGCACAGTCCGCTTCCTCTGGGACTCGGGGTCTGTGGGTGAATGATGCAGAAGCAAAGGTTAAAAAACATTTAGACGATCACAATAAAAGCCAGACACACGCTGTTCTGAGCTTAGTTTTTAATGTTGAGTCATCTCTATATGCATGTTCTTCCTTTTATTATTTGTATTTTGACTACTGTGACCTGCATCCTCTGTGTAAGAACACCTCCCATGCTTGTTCACATCATTAAGCAGACAAATGTTACTCCATAGGCAGCTTCACCATGGCAACCCCTGCTCTACCCCCCACTGAACTGATGTGGTACAGCCTAAAAATGCACCATTGGAAGGCTGCCATTGACTTCGACCTGCCGCCAGGGGGATTCATGCCACACCAGGATCGCTTTTACTTTCTTTCTAGAGATTTTCTGATCTGCTGAGCATTACCTCAGAGTCACTCGGTTCAAGTAATACAGCTAACTATAAGCTGAACTGCAGCCAGAACAGTTTCAGTGAAGGTCAGCTTATTTGGACTATACTCTGTGCACTGCAAAATATAGAGTCAGTGGGTTGTGACCGTGTCAAATCAATATTACAGTACAATTAGGAGCGCTGTTGTGGTAGCTGTAACAAACGAGAGAAACCCCCTGTCACACAAATGCAGGAAGTTGGGATTTTCCCCAGCAATGTTGAGGCAAAAACCCTCAGGCAGAAAGAAATTAATATTCACTGTATTAGCTGCAAAAGCTGAAGCAGAGGCGAGGATGTCAGGGGACCAAAAGACAAATCATATGCTCGTCTCATAAGTAGATATTGAACTAAATCAGCAGAGCACACAGAGAGTGAATTCTAAGCCTCAATTTGAGTTTACACATTGAAATGCACTATTGTGATTTTTGCAAGTCAAACTAAAGCCTTGTTTACTTTGCCACTCAGAAAAAACACTGAGCTTTCTGAATGGTGTGTTCTTCTGGGTTCTATAATATACAGTAGCTACATATGTTATCTGCAAAAAAGGACAACAACTAATTTATAAGCACACAAGAGCTGGTCCAGAATGTCCAGAATGAAATATTGATTTCATCTTTAGTGCTATTCTGACAGAAAACTGTCTGGCTCTGGTAGCATTTTTTGAGTAAAGATTGCAGTGCAGCTGGAATGCTACAGTACAAACTGCAGCTAAAGTCAGCCAAGAATTCACTCCATTGTTCCCCATATAAAAGATACTCAGCAGTTCTTGCTATTGCCAAAAGAAAATAAAAACATTTTGGACACTTTTGAACACTCATTATTTTTCATTTTATTACATACATGTAATCATCTTCTTGCACAATTGCTAATCATTGAGTGTTTATAATCTAAAACATTGCTTTGAGAGATTCCTAGCAGATTAGACGTGGATTTCAAATAAAAATGGTATATAGTCAACATCCTGTTCTTTATCTGTTTGTAGTCTACTGGCCTTCTTCTAAACACTATACTCTGGGAAAAGCATAGGTTTCACGTGACCCCAAATAGTTTTAATATATTTGATTTTATCAGAAAGAAGATTAATATCTTGAAATTGCAATGCTAACACAAATATGTCCTTAATATGAGATCAGCAGAGGTGTCCACTGAGCAATGAATCTTTTTGTCATATTGCATTCTTATTCAATCTTCTCATTTCCTTTGCGATTAATTCTGGGGGAAACACTTCAGCAGGAATGCTAGACACAAAGTGCCCATGTGAATCACATCTGCTGTGAGTATTAGATTTATGTGTTGTGTTCTTGTTTAGTAGTGGTGTGGTACCCTGCATTGCAGTTGGATGGGAAAAGGGAAACTCAGACAGAATACTGAAGCAGATCTGAAATGGGAAAGTCCTATGAATGATGCAACATCTCAGGAGATACTCCATATACTCACAATGTAGGAAAAGATAAAAGTTTGGAAAGACTCATTCTAAAATAGCTAGAGGTCCTCAGTAATTAACCTTACAAACACTGGTAGATTAACAATAAAGGAACCGCATGTTGCACCAAGTCACCAAGAAATACAACAGCAGGGTCTTGCAGTCTTCTTCAACCTCCACATTTCACTTTTATGCCTGTTCAGGGGGTTAAATTTCACATGGAAATATAAGAACTGGACAGAAAGAGGAAAGAAAGGTTTTTGCTTTAGGGCAAAAAGGAAAGGCAGAATCTTTTTGCAGCTCACATGAACCTTCTTATTTCAAAGGCAGATGTAGTAGATGACAACTGGAAAATACTTATCTTTCTAAGAAAACATGAACTGTGACTAATGGTGCAAAAAAAAAAAAAAAAGGTTAACAGTCATTGTTAAACAATCTATCTTTGTGGAGTGGTGAAAATACATATAACCATTTAATCTCTAGTTCCTACCTTTTCAAAATATTGTGTAAGAGGAAAAGTGCCTTTGCTTCTTCATTTAAAAAAAAATTAAAAATGTATAAAACACAG